GGATGTCTCTTATTTGAAGCCTGGGATTCGGGACTTTAAATAAAAATCGGGACGAGATTCGGGATTGAAAGTATGTATACACGGGAGGTGGGACGTCAAAAATAACCCCAGGACTACGGGATTGCACGAAATGTTGGGTGGGGATTACGGGATTGAAAAACTCCACTAAGTACCCTCAAGAAAAGCAGCTAGGATTTTGGCTTCATCTCAGTAACCGTTACATTTTATATCAATCTATCTCAATGAGCTGTGTCAGTCACGCTGGCGAAGTCAAATCTTAACCATAAGGAACTGGTCACCAGTCAGAGGGTGAAATACAAAAGCTGCTGTCAATAGTTTAAAAGTGCATCTGTGTAATGAAGGCAAGCAAATACAAAAATACGAGGGAGATACACATTGAAACTTCCTCAGGACTAAGTTACATATAGCGACAACACAACGAAAAAAATCCATGAAAAAACAACAACAATAAACAAACACACCTTCTGTAATTAATAACTAAACTAGTTAATATAATTTTAGCGGAAGACAGATCCTACTCGACGAATTGATCCTGTATGGCCCATTCAATATTAGCGCAACGCTCGGCGGGTTCAACAATAGGGACCTTAAGCAAAGAGAACGTCGACGTCCCGGGCGTCAAAAATGGCAACCGGTTATTGATATTTTCTCTCTTTCAGTGCTCTGACTCTACAAATTCGTACAGCGGGAGTTAAAACAAAGGCGTTCAGATTCGTTGTGTAAGACAACAGTGTTCCATCAAGCGATATACAGACCTTCCGGTTGCTATTCATGACGTCCTGGACGTCAGCGTTCTCGTTACTTAATTTCGCTTAAATCTAAGTTTCAGCTCTTCTCCCAGGATACTGCTCACACGTGTCTTGTGTGGTGTCACTCAAACACAAGGCGTGGTCCATCACGTGGAAAATGTACTGCTGTTCCACCACACCATGAAATAAGTAGGCTCCAGGACCGTCCGCATATATACCTGTAATATGAAGGAATTTTAGATTAACAGCGAATGTTTTCTAGGGACTTTCAAAAGAATATAATTTTAAATGGTGTAAAAATATCACGTTACATCAGGTTAGACCACAAGGCGTTCTGGTTGAAGGCAAGAGCATATTTTTCAGTTGTTTCAGTCTTGTTCAGTTTTGAAGTGACCCATCGACCAAGTATTGGTTTACTGGTTCTTTTTAAGGGGCTATATTTCAAGGGTGAGTAAACAGGGAGCAAGGGTGGCGCAGTGGTGAGAGCGCTCGTCTCCCACCATTGAATGGAACTTGCTCTGGCCCAAAGATTAACCCGAAAAGTCAGAGCTTTTGCTGCTAAGCAACCTGGCCTGTACCGTACAAGAAACCGATCAGTTGAAATCTTAGGAGTACATTTTACCTATGACATTCGCCCAAAACAAAAGTTAAACGTCAATGAATTAATCAGCTCCATTCAACTTAAGCTACGAATCTGGAGGTGGAGGGATTTTACTATCATGGGGAGAAACCTTTGTTATCCCTATCTTTTTATATCGCACGAGCTTGATATCATTTGATAAAGAATTTGCGGAAGAAGCAAACAAAATTATATTTGATTTTATCTGTGAAGGAAAAGATAAAGTTAAACGCTCTGCACTTATTAGTGCATCGAAGATGATATTTGTGAATCATATTTTACTACTGGCAAAACAATACCTATACTGTTGTAGACAGAACAAATATGCTCTCTTCATTAGAGTTCTTAATTCCAAAATTAATACTGTCTTCTTAATCGAGACAATGATCGCTGAGTCAAACAATACGTTGGAGACACAATATGAAGTGGAGTAAATATAAATCTGATTAGCATACGAATCCTTTCGCCGCTTACTTCATTTACTTTTTTTTTTTTCAGGTAAATAGAGAAGAATGTAGTGGGATGTGTTTCTTTCTTTCTTATTTTCTTATTTTCGTTTATAATAATATCCTAATCCTAAAATCAGCCTTGCTGTGTCTCAGAGGAACCAGGAGCAAGAGAAGAGCAGCCAATTTATCTGATAAATTACATCGAAAGTAATAATTTAATAAACTAATTTGAATTGTTATTTTTAAATTTTTTTATTATTATTTTCGATTATTATTATAGTATAGTCATTTTAACGACTTTTTTCGTCACAGTCTTTGCTGGTATTTTAATATTTCATTTTTTTGAATCTGTAAATAGTCTATTTTTTTTAAATCTATGCGCAAACCATGCACCTAGAGCGTCAGTCACTCAAGTCTGTACACTGAGCACCTTTCTGAGGAGTTACATTATCATTATTATTATTATTATTATTATTATTATTATTATTATTATTTATCAGTACATGTATGTAATGTGTGTGCGTGGTGTGTGTGCGATGTATATAATTATGATTAGTTTTCTTTTTTTTTGTTTTTTCAAAGTGTTCATAAGCGTCAGTATGTAAAAAAATTGTCATACATAACAAAAAAAATAACAAAATAAAATTTATGAAAATACACAAAAAACAACAACAACAACAACAAAAACATTTTGGCACGGGTTCAAATCCCGGCATCGACGCCTTTTGTGAGTTAAATTTGTTGTTGTGGTTCTCTCCTTTGCTCCGAACAGTTTTTCTCCGGGTACTCCGGTTTTCCCCTCTCCTCAAAAACCAACAATTCTAAATTCCAATTCGACCAGGAATCAGGTAGATGAAGAACCACTATATGGATGTGCTACTTCCAAATCGTTATTTATTTATTTATTTATTTATTTATTTATATTCATTATTTAAATTGCCCACACAGTCAAGATCATTAGAATTTCGTGGGTGGATTTAACAGCGATAAAACAAGACAAGACATAGTAGACATAGTGCATCAACCATTGCTTTTTTCTCTTCTCCCCCTTTTATACTCCTCGCTTATTCTATTTTACCTTTCCTTATCCTTTCCTAGCTTGATTTTAAAGCTTATCGGGGGCAAAAAACCTGCCTTTCGACCCTGGCTGCAAATTTCGCTAGTTCGTTTTCAAACAAAAAAAATCGGCTAAATATGTATTGGGGTATTACGGAATTGTTTTTCTTTGTGGCCTAGTCAATTTCTAGTCAAATTTTTGAAAAAAAAACAAACAAAGAAACAAAAATTAAAAAACAACAACAACAAAAACTACAAAAAAAAAAAAACGAAAAAGCTGCGGTCATTCACAGACTCGTTAAATTCGTACACGACGAACATGCGTACCTGAAGGAAGGAACGTCTTACAATTCTAGCTGGATACATGAAAATATGGCTAACGAAAATACAGCCATTTGAGCGAAACACGAGAACGTGGTCTCTTAACTGAAAGAAGGCAAAAACACGAGAAATCTGAAATCTATCAGCCCCAAATTTAGCTGGTCCTTCCCACAATGTGACTTAGTAATAGTCATGTTCGCGCTACAAAATATCATTTTACATATGAACCAAGTGCCACGGATCTAGAGCCCGATCACAAAAGTAGAGAAGGAACCAATTCGCACTCTTACTTTTTTGGAGCTTAAACAACAAAAGTAGGATGGATTATTTTTGCCAATTCTGCGACTTAACACTGTGGGAAAGACGATTTTCTATACTTGTATTATTTCCAACATTATTGGCCACGCAAAAAAAGATGCCCTTGATTATTCAATTTCGTACACCTGCTTTTATTATGTCACTTAATGAACAACGCTTTTGCGGGGTGAACTTATAGGTGGTTTTCATGCAATCTCGGGAGACACAAATAACAATGGTGAAATGAACAAATGCTGGTGGACAAACAAAGCGAGCTAATGAGCGATCTTTTGTTTACCGTCCACCAGCATGGCGGCGATGACGTAACGTGAAAACCACCTATAGTGATTAGAATTTGCACAAAGTTGCGTCGGATATGCTTCATTTTCCAAGAATAAATGAGCGGATTGAGACATGAATTAACGAACATTAGCGTCGTCACATAAATTGATGTATTATATATTAGCTTGCTTGGTTCTAAAATAATAACAATGATATTAAGACATGTCTTTGGCAAATAGCAAACCAAAAACACGAGATAGACAAAGAAAGTTACAAAAGCAGATTTTTTCTGCCTCGCAATATTCAGTATATCTTGTGCTACACCTTGAATTGTAAGACGCTGAACTGCTGCATACAACTTGTAGTAAAAAATTCCTGTACATACGTAACATAATACCTCGACACTCGCAAATATAATGTAGCGGCGATTTTCTGGGGCCCATCTGAAACCAGATATCGAAAAAGACGCACTGAAAATCCAAATTGAGACCGTTCCCATGAAAACGCGCTTCGATGTTACCAATTCCTGATATCGAAGATGGAGATAAATGGCAAGGAATCTATCCGCACTTATAGCCACAACACTAAAGAACGAAGCAAAAGAAAGAAAATTGACCATGATAAGAAATGCGGTAAGCATGGTGGTGTAAACTTTGCTACTTGTGTCTTGGTGCATCTCCTTGACTAGCAGAACAATGTGCAAAGGTTCTACCAGCAGCCCAACCAAGAGATCGGAAATTGTTAAACTAAACAGCAATGTTTTCAAAGTCTTCGGCAACGATGGAGTTTTCCTCAGAGCGTGTATAGTTACAATGTTCAACATGATAGTGTTGTAAGATAAGAAGGCATTCAATACGCAGTTTACAACGGACGATGAGAAGTAGACCCCCGGTTCCTCTGTCATGCTGAAAAATTGTAAGTATATCTTAATGTAAAAAGAGTGTTGTTTCGACGGTGTTGGTGCTGAAAAATGAGAGTCCTCGCTATATTTAAAGCTTAAAGGAAGATAATAAGTTCTCCACACTAAAAAACCCCAGCCATCCATTTATTCTGTAGTGCGGGAAGCAGATGTCAGAAAATGAACATAATCTTGGAAAGCTTCGAATAATTGGTTGCGTCTCAGTAATGGACTTGGCTGCAAATCAGGGATTCCTCGGTTAGTCTAGATCACGTAATGGCTCGCGAGAAATATATGTTGTTTTTTTTTTTAGAATTTACAAAGCTTTTATATTATGGTATGGAATAAAAGGAACATACACAGGAGTAGCTATAACTGCATTTTCAAATTCTTTAAGAACTGAAAGTCTACCGTGACGGCTGTCATTTAACTTTCAATTTTCCTTGCTGATTAAAGTGGCTATTAACCAGTACTGAACTCAGTGACACTGAAAACCAGCCGGCTTATGAGCTATAAAAAGAGTTTTATTATTACTAATATCACTTCAAGTCATGTAGTAGAGGGCCTTCTTGGTCTTCCTTGGACTTTTAGTTTCAAGATTTTCCATAATTAAAAGCTTAGAAATTGTCACCTTATGTGAGTCAACGACTTTTAGTCTACCTTCTCATTTTTATAAATTTGAAAGCAGACTGATTAAAGAAAATTGATGAAATTGAGTTTGGGCTTCTAAAATGTGGATTTAATGGTGTTTAAAGGAATTTTAAATTAAGCTCTGGTCCATACCTTTTACCGTCAGGTAAAACATAAAAATTTAAATTTTTATGCAAACTTAGTTTCGCGTACAAGGAAGTGATTGATTGTTTCCTGCGTTAATAGTCTAAACGATTCTTAGTTTTTTCTTGCCGAAGAGAAAGTATTCGAATTGCTATATAGGCCGGGTATTTTCAGAGTTAGGACACGACTCCACGAGATGCTGTTCGGCGTCTGCTACGTTTTAGGATCTCGCAAAACATTTTCAATGGCTATCAATAAACCAACCAGACAGCAAATGCGAAATGAAAATAATAATTATAAAATAATGGTGAGAAACATAATCAAAACACGGAGTACTTTGCTTTAGTCAGGTTAATGAGAGGAAATTTAATGGAAGGAAAGTATGGCATGTGTGAAACTGAAAATTATAGATAAGGTCCAAAAACAACAACAACAACAACAGTACTAATAATAATAATAATAATAATAATAATAATTTTTTTTTTAGACAATTTTATTAAAAAAACTATTAAAATCCTATTTACAATTAATTCGCTTAAAAAAAAGAAAAAACTATTCATTCAAAAACACTATTTACAATTTCTGTCGATTTAAAAAGCACTTAATTTAGCTTAAAAAAAAAAAGTTAATTAAAACTAAGAAAATAATAATAATAATAATAATAATAATAATAATAATAATAATAATAATAATAATAATAATAAAAGCAATAAAAAGACATATTTTGCTCCCGCCATCAAATTGCTTAAATTTATTGCAACGCACCTACGTCATCACCGGCATGAGTCTCTGAACCTCTCCACACCGTGGCCTGCTGCAAATAATCCTTATCTGCCGTGTCTACCCCTGTAAGGTTTTGTCGCGTTCCATTTATCCGCTTTCCTCCAGGGCCATTGGCATATCCAAGGACAGTGTATGGTAAGCCGTCCTTTGCTTTCGCGGGTTCTGTTTCACCTCGTTCAGTTGCAAGACCAAAGATTGGGTTTCCGCGCTGTGGGTAACCAGCCATGGTGAATACGTGAGAATGGTCAGCGGATACTATAATAAGAGTCTCCTCTAGTATTAAAATAAAAGATATCATAAAAATAAGTTCAATACTTTCATGAACATTGCGGGTGAACAGCAACACGTGAAATGTTTTAGTTACATTTGCTGTTCGATGTAAAGAAAGAAAAGTTAAGTAACCATGAACTCTCAATGGCGTCTGTTGGCCATGTTCTAAACGCGCGGAGAACTTATAGACCTCAAAGGCTCTAGGGATCGTCTGAAAGGACAGCAAAACATGCAGTCAAAACATGGCGGAAAGCAGTAAGACACACCGTCAGGGTCATTCTGACAGAAGAAGACATAACTGGTGCATTAGGGGCTTTATGAATTCTGTAAAAGTGAAAATTAATCGCAATTTGGAAACAATTATTGCAATATTGAACAAAGCATTGTAGAGCGTCATGATATGTTTGTTGACCTTTATGCTTTCCCTCCAAACGATCCCAAGATGCATTGTTGTCGTATATTGTACCCAGTTTTTCACCAGTTTAAAACATGGCAAATTGCTGATCTTGCAATGTATTGCTGGTTTTCAGTTTCACGCCATTCAAAATAGATCAAAATAAAAATCAAAACTGTTCAATAGATAAAGTTCAGAATCTGGAAAATGAAAGGAGGTAAATATGCAAATACGCTCCCCAAATTTCAGGTCAGAGGAATATTTCGTCAACGAGATATCCGAAGAAATGTTCTACCCATATTTAAAGTTTGTATGGAGACGCCATGCTGGTGCTCATCCGGATGGGCACCAACATGGTGGACCGAAACCAACAGAAACATCTGTTATCGGGTTTTGCTATAAAGGCTTCAATTTATTCTTCGAGGAACTCATAAACATTAAACTAATACTTTTTCTAATACATGAACTGTTTAGATAGCAAAATTCCCTGAAATCAGTATTTTTTTAACCTACATGACAGCTCTCTTAGCCGTCATATAAATGCCGCGTCACGCCAAAGGTTAGAAATTCAAGCGTACTCTATCACAAAATCAAGGGCCCTTTTGAAGCAAAAATTTGTATGAAAATTAGTTTTCAGCTGCTCTAATACATCGTGAAAGTAAAATCTCGGTAGGATCGATCGTTTTGTAGCTTGAATTTTAGTGACGTCATGTGGAAACCAACATTTCCTACATTCCTTGAGCAAGGGAACTAGTTTCTTTGAAAAATAACGTTGGAGAGTTACTGAACTTTGTCTCCTTAGCTTTTAGATACCTTTTAGTAGCTATAGTGTCTAAGATTTTACGAATTTAACCGGTTTAATACACCTCGGCAAATATATGGTCGTCTCAGTTAGGGATTTATTGTTGCCATCGTAAGCAACAAACTCCAAATTAAGTAGCAATGCCGTGGCGGAACCAAAACCGTACCACACGTTTTAGTTATTAAGGATATAAATGACGGGGAAAACTTCCAAATAAAGCTTCAAAAGTCGGAGGTTATAATTTATCTTATCTACTTTTTAAATTTATTATTATTTGATTTTGTGAGAAATTAATTCCATTAATTGCATTTACATCTATAAGTATTGAATTGAAAAGTTTTCTTGTAAATTGCAACATTTTCACGGCATTTTCAGTTTTCAGATTTTCAGATTCTTTTATTCTTATAAGATATTAAAATACCTTATGTAACGGTCTTGATAAGAAGATTGGATGGCACCAGTGTTTAATATCAAGTGAATTAATTCATTGCAATTTACTGTATACTGAAAATACTAATAGTAGAAGGCAGTAGTATATGCTCATAGAATTAAGGAAGAAGAGGTCTTAATCCTGTCTACGGAGATCTTGGTGTTAGGTACATTTTGAAGATTTCGTGCTCTAGGTGAAATAGACATCAAAAAGGCCAAGAGTGCAAAATTGCTAGCTGTGAATCATAAATCAAAAAGCCTTTTTATTCATATTTATTCTGGTAAATTAATGAAAGCCTTTCCGGGTAACATTTCTCTGTTTTACTTACCTCGATTGGTCATTTCCATAGCTTTACCGCACGCCTTTGCCATGGCAACTGCGTCATTTAAGGCTCTCACGGCCTGTCCGTCATGATGACCATGATCAATGCGGCCTCCTGAAAATAAAACAGTGTGCTTTAATAACGGGCGATGATATTGTTGTTTTAGGTCAATTCTGCATGTGCCAAAGTCATTACTTAGTGCTTTTGACACATTAACACAACACATAACACGCTCCTGTAGAGATATGAAGAAGATATCTAAAAATAGCTTTATCACAGGAGCGCTAACGATATATTTTTGGCGATTTCTGCACAGCATTAAAGCTAAAAACAGTCTATCCTCGCCATCTGTAGCGACAGACGACATAAATAACTTCAGGCGCGGACCTGATAAATACTGGCCGATTTCCTAAGCAAGCGCCGAAGTAGCACGTTTCTAGGGGGCCGGGGGCATGCTTGCTTCCCTGGACATGTTTTGGATTTTAGCTCCTTAAAAAGCCCCTTTCACGGGTTTCTGAGTCATTTAGAGAGGATTCTCCTCGGATGAAGCTTTAAAAATCGGCGGATTATAAATATTATTATTTCTAATGCCCGGAAATTGAAAAAAGAAAAGAAAATAAAAATATCCAAACCATTTTCCAGATTTCGATTTGGAAAGTTCATTAAAATTACCTTCAACTAACAGGAAATATCCCTTTGGGTTCTTCTTCAATATGTTAATGGCTTTTTCAGTCATCTCGGCAATGGAGGGCTCTTGATCTCCATCTTTCTCCTCGACACGATCAACTTCGTATTTCATATGACCATGCTCAAACAAACCTAAGATATAAATTTAAGTCTTTAAAAAATTCAATTTAGTTTCACTGAGCATTATGCTGATATCAAGGCTAAGTTATCCATTTATAGAGTCTTATTGTTCCTTTGTTTTCAGCATAAAAGCAACTTGTTCGTTTGTTTTCCCCGATGGACAGTTCAGTCCACCAGGAGCTCCCTTGTTTTACACCATTAGGGTAAAAAGACAACGTCATAAATACATTTATCATATAACACGTACGGCCCCCGTGCAATTTCGTTGAAAAACCATATGAAAAGTCCCGTATAAGGGTCGTAGAGCGAGTTCTTCACGTTCCGACCTCGAGCCGAATATTTTCCCTTCCCGCCCTCCCACTTTACTCAGTCAATAAGTACATAGGTCGACGCATGCATAGTCTAGAGGCTGGACTAATCTAGAGTTCTTCAAAGAGAGTCTGTTCAACAGATTCAGAATCTGTATCTAGGAGATAACAGTGCTCCTATAGACTAATGAGCTCCCTGAACGGACTTCCTTGAGTAAATACAAGCCGATTGTTCTTATGAGTATTTTTCCAGTAAAGGCCTCCATCCATCTAAAGAAACCAATGAATCCAATGTGGATTTGATGTATCATAAACCGAGTGATCTCGGATCATTGATCCTGATCCGGACAATTCCAAAGAAACGTATCCTATCACACTATAAACACCCTTTCCCCCCCACCCCTCCGGTGCCCCCACCCCCGCTTATTTGATCGACCGGTTAAAAACTATAGGGACTCATGGAAAGAAAGTGACAACAATGGACTGGGTTAAATAACTTTATGTTCACCATAATCATGATGGCACAACAACTACACGCTTCAAACAATCAAACAACGTACCTATCACGTGATCCACTTTATCCACGTCAATCTCGTCAAACTGTTTTTTGTTCCACACATACTCGGCATTTGGATGTTTCTCTTTCCACTCCATCAGTAAGTTTCTACCGTCTTCTCTTTCTCCTTTCTTGTCGGAGTACTCAGGGTCGCTTTGGTTCTCTGGAATAAACTCTCTTCTGCCCCCACCGAAGATGACTTCTATGCCATCCCCATGCGAGTATTCAATAAGTTGCAAAGCTGTTTATGAGATAGACATTGCTTGGATTTCAGCCATCCCCATATTGTGGGATATATTGTTGGTCAGGGGCATGATATATTGTTTCGTACAACATGATATGCCAATCAAATCTCTAGAAATGCATTAACCAATACTCTTTTTTTAAATAGAAAGGCCATTCGAGTTATGGCGTCAATTGACTACAACTACCACGATCCTTTACTAAGAGTGTTTTCTTGTACAAAATAGATTTTTTTGTTTCATTTTCACGGACATGTTTTGAGAAATTTGTCACTGCCACTAACATTGACTGACGAAAGAAAAACATGACTGTCGAGGAAAACTGTTAGTATAAATCAGGTCACCATTGTTCAAAAGGTGGATAGCGTTATCCACCGAATAAATCTTTGGATAGCGCAGTTGGTTTCCCAAATACTTATCCACTGGATAGTGATTTATTCGGTGGATAGCGTAAGCCATCTTTTGAACAACTGAGGCCACGCTTAAATCTGACTGGGAAAGTTGATTGAAACTTAAGAAAAAACTCGGTTAATGGACATGCACTCTGGTAGCTGTAGTCATCATCATCATCATCATCATCATCTTTGCCGTCCTCGTTATCATTATCATTATCATATATTAATAACCGAATTGTTAGCGATCCACTAGTGCATGAAAAAAAATTAAAGTCCTTAGTTTTAATTACGAAATTACATCAAAGTTTACCGTACCAATGTCCGTGCAGTTGGATGGGTCATCTTTAGCCTTTTTCCTCATATCTTGATCGCTTTCCCAACCCCTATCAGCGGAATGAGCGTACAAGGCAGCGGGAGTGGCGTGAGTTGCTCGAGCAGTGGTTACAAACCCAGTAGACATTCCCGCTTCTTCTGCTAGGGTCAATATTGATATCACCTTTTTGTATTCGTTGTAGGACGAGCAGTAGCCACGCTCCACTGTTTCATCCACGCTAATCACGCCTTAATATAAAGAAAACAAACTTTAATGAGGCTTGCACCTCTGCATCCATATTATTTTGTTATTTTTTCTGTGATCCTTGTTTCCAAAATTCCGTAAAATTGTGATCCCTCATCCCATAAAAATTTCAAGATCCCCTAATAAAATAACTAATCCAATAAAAAAGTTAGTCACTGAAGTCAAAGATGGAATGAACTTGATAGTAAACTAATATATAGATTTAGCCAAGACTAAAAGCGAAACTCTCGATAATATTCATAGTTTGTTCAAACAAAATATGAAATCGTGTAATGATAAGCGGCGAAAGGAAACGCCAGAGAACGGTGAAAAACAAAAATAGGTCTAATTAGCTAAAAAGCAACTTTGTACGTGCAGCAAACTTTTTTTGTACATTTCTTTGCCGTTGTTTTGCACGACTACTACGTGAAACTTCCCGAAACATCGTAGTTACATTTTATGGAGGAAATGTCGCACGTTTTCTGGTTCAATGTTTTTTTCACTGCCGCTCATTTTCACCTTGCATTGGTGGCCGCTAGCCAGTTTCTCATTTTGTCATCGCCGTTACAAAATTTTCATGTTGTTCTTCCGACAAAAAAAGCTCTCCTTTGTTTTTTATCGCTCGCTCCAGATTTCTGTCGCCCTTCTTCTCGTTGAGCTTCGCTGGCCTACCGCCTACTTTCTCTTTTTCTCTGTGTTTCTCTTGCTCTATATTCGAAATTTGTGGACATAACAATTAATCTAAGCTTAATACTTTAGAAAACACGGATACAGAGACAATTTTCGCTTTCTGTAGTAGTATACTATGTTGAAACTTAACCGTTTTGGTGCCTTCCCCTGCCTTCCGTATGCCTTCCCTTAATTGATATGCATAAGCCTATGACGTCACCTCGGAAAGAAGTGTCTTCCTGCATACTAATTTCGATTAGGTTTACTAATGAGCGTCATTCTACTACAATAGGAACAATAGGCTTGCCTAGACTTGCCCGTGAAGTAACTTGAGCTCGGTTTTCGGACAGTCTATTAAAAGGGAAATAGGAATAAGAGAAGCGATCACCTAGCAACGCGAGAAACGGCTTCCTATATCTTATTTAGCGCTAAAACTCATATATATAAACAAAACACATGTGCACAAAGTGGAGTTGAAAAGTCTTTATTTCCGTTTAGTTTATGTCTTCTTATTGAGCTCTAAAACTCGGATATATATAAACAAAATACACGAAGTAAAACTCCATTTCAATTTTGTCTGACGTTTTCTCCGTTCCATCTCGAGGAAATGAAAAACTATTAAAGTCTTGTAATTTCACGCACTGTTAGTCAGTTAATTATGCGAGTTCACAAGCCCAAAGTTGAATACAAATTTGCTCTACAGGAAAGACCCAAGGGAGCACCTTGACGTATTATTATAAAACAAACAACTTAACAAGGATCAATTAAAACACGCGACTAATAATTGCTAGCAATAAAATCTGACACGAGATACCGTTTAAAACAAAAAGAATCAAATACACAGTGATTTGAAAGAAATCTATTAAAACAGTCAAAGAAAGCAAGTCATGTTTTACTTACCCTCTCCCTTTTCAATTTTATTTCCCTCCTCAATTTTTTCTTTTCCCTTCTCCACAATTTTATTATTTTCCCTCCTCAATGTTTTTTTATTCCCTCCTCCACAATTTTTATTATTTTCCCTCCTCAATGTTTTTTTATCCCTCCTCCACCTCCACCTCCACCTCCTCATTTATTCTATATATTTTTCCATCCACAAATACTTCGACCTCCTAGCGACCCTACATCGACCCCACATCGACCCTACATCGACCCCACATCGACCCTACATCGACCCTACATTGACCCCACATCGACCCCACATCGACCCTACACTCAACTTTTTTTTAACACTGCTTCGTAAATAGTGAAGCTATATACCACCACCGCCACATTTCTATTGTTTTCCCACCACCACCACCACCGCCACCACATTTCAATTGTTTTCCCTCCTCCTCCTCCTCCTCATTTTTGTTTTGGTACAGTAGGGGTACAGGAGGGGTACAGGAGGGGTACAGTAGGGGTACAGGAGGGGTACAGGAGGGGTACAGGAAGGGTACAGGAAGGGTACAGTAGGGGTACAGGAGGGGTACAGGAAGGGTACAGTAGGGGTACAGGAGGGGTACAGGAAGGGTACAGTAGGGGTACAGGAAGGGTACAGTAGGGGTACAGGAGGGTTACAGGAGGGGTACAGGAAGGGTACAGGAAGGGTACAGGAGGGGTACGGGAGGGGTACAGTAGGGGTACAGGAAGGGTACAGGAGGGGTAAGTTCATAGAGTTCCATTGTGCTTTGCAGCCGTGCCTCCATCGATAGCTATAAAAGAAGTAGTCATTGGAAATTTTGAAGATGATTGTTCGCTTTCTTGTGAGCTTTCAATATCGTCGTCATCATCTTCAAAATTTCCAATGACTACTTCTTTTATAGCTATCGATGGAGGCACGGCTGCAAAGCACAACGGAACTCTATGAACTTACCCCTCCTGTACCCTTCCTGTACCCCTACTGTACCCCTCCTGTACCCCTCCCGTACCCTTTCTGTACCCCTCCTGTAACCCTCCTGTACCCCCACTGTACCCTTCCTGTACCCCTACTGTACCCTTCCTGTACCCCTCCTGTACCCCTACTGTACCCTTCCTGTACCCTTTCTGTACCCCTCCTGTACCCCTCTTGTACCCCTACTGTACCCCTCCTGTACCCCTCCTGTACCCTTACTGTACCAAAACAAAAATGAGGAGGAGGAGGAGGAGGAGGGAAAACAATAAAAATGAGGAGGAGGAGGGAAAACAAAAATGAGGAGGAGGAGGAGGAGGAAAAACAATAAAAATAAGGAGGAGGAGGAGGAGGAGGGAAAACAATTGAAATGTGGTGGCGGTAGTGGTGGTGGTGGGAAAACAAGAGAAATGTGGCGGTGGTGGTATATAGCTTCACTATTTACGAAGCAGTGTTAAAAAAAAGTTGAGTGTAGGGTCGATGTGGGGTCGATGTGGGGTCGATGTAGGGTCGATGTAGGGTCGATGTGGGGTCGATGTAGGGTCGATGTGGGGTCGATGTAGGGTCGCTAGGAGGTCGATGTATTTGTGGATGGAAAAATATATAGAATAAATGAGGAGGTGGAGGTGGAGGTGGAGGAGGGGAATAAAAAACATTGAGGAGGGAAAATAATAAAAATTGTGGAGGAGGGAATAAAAACATTGAGGAGGGAAAATAATAAAATTGTGGAGAAGGGAAAAAGAAAAAATTGAGGAGGGAAATAAAATTGAAAAGGGAGAGGGGTAAGTAAAACATGACTTGCTTTCTTTGACTGTTTTAATAGATTTCTTTCAAATCACTGTGTATTTGACTCTTTTTGTTTTAAACGGTATCTCGTGTCAGATTTTATTGCTAGCAATTATTAGTCGCGTGTTTTAATTGATCCTTGTTAAGTTGTTTGTTTTATAATAATACGTCAAGGTGCTCCCTTGGGTCTTTCCTGTAGAGCAAATTTGTATTCAACTTTGGGCTTGTGAACTCGCATAATTAACTGACTAACAGTGCGTGAAATTACAAGACTTTAATAGTTTTTCATTTCCTCGAGATGGAACGGAGAAAACGTCAGACAAAATTGAAATGGAGTTTTACTTCGTGTATTTTGTTTATATATATCCGAGTTTTAGAGCTCAATAAGAAGACATAAACTAAACGGAAATAAAGACTTTTCAACTCCACTTTGTGCACATGTGTTTTGTTTATATATATGAGTTTTAGCGCTAAATAAGATATAGGAAGCCGTTTCTCGCGTTGCTAGGTGATCGCTTCTCTTATTCCTATTTCCCTTTTAATAGACTGTCCGAAAACCGAGCTCAAGTTACTTCACGGGCAAGTCTAGGCAAGCCTATTGTTCCTATTGTAGTAGAATGACGCTCATTAGTAAACCTAATCGAAATTAGTATGCAGGAAGACACTTCTTTCCGAGGTGACGTCATAGGCTTATGCATATCAATTAAGGGAAGGCATACGGAAGGCAAGGGAAGGCACCAAAACGGTTAAGTTTCAACATAGTACACTACTTTCTGTTTTCGTCTTTGTTGACTCTTTAGTTGTCTCTGCTTTACAAGACGCGGGTGGCTATGCGATTTCCCTTCAAAATAACTGCGAGTTGCATTTGGATTACCATACCTGTTGATCGAGTTATTCTACATTGGTATGCCTGTGGTGCGGACTGACGGTCGGGCGGTCGGTCGGTATACGGTCACGTGATTACCAAATTTTCTCGGAAGGGTAATTTACCACATTTTCTTGCCCATGGTGCTCCGCTGCGCGCACTGCGCGCGCGAGAGCTCCGTTATTATTTAATTTAGCTTTCGCATAATTTGAAGAATTATGCAATCCGAAAGCCAAGGTGGATAGCACCTTCACTCCGCCTCAAACTGCATTATAATATATAGATTAAGCCAAGGCGAAAAACGAAGCGTGGAAACGTTTAAGAAAAGTCTTTCTAACGTAAACGTTGCTGAGCCAGCAATAACTTGAAAACCCTAACTGGCCAGCGGAGAACTTTAAAAAAACACGTAACCTCAATGATTAGTACACCTGAGCTCGCGATACAGTCATGTGACACTGGTCCGCAGATGTCTCATATCAAGTGAAACAACTTGTATATGCCTTGGACTTAACAGCTAGTAAGTGAGACATTTCACATCCGCTCACATCAAGGGGCGGAAGTGCGGGCGTGAGCTCCGCTGTTTGTCGTATCATGGGAAAGCCGTTACTATTTGCCTCTGTTCTAACGGGAAAATCTCTGTTGACCACAGAACACCCAATTGAAAACCGCTTTAGCGCCCCTTGACACGTAATGACTTGCTTACCAGCATCGGTCTTTACTCCACCAAGGAAGGCAGTCGCTGTTCCTGCCGAGTCTGCAACCTGTTCATCCACGGTGTAGGTTTTAGAAAGCGCAGTCCAAGGAAAATTTTCCCAGCTCAGTACATTCTCCTCTCCTGTTTGGTTCCTCATTTGGCCCTCGAGAATCCTTGACGCTGTTACAGTAGTGATACTCATTCCATCTCCGAGAAAGAATATCGTATTCTTCGCTGTGTGGGTTATAGGTTTCTGTTTCAGATTGGCTTTGAGGAGTTTAACACCATCTTTAAACCACTGGTTCTCTTTCTGATTAGCGGGAACAGGAACTGACCGTGTTGCTAAACGATTTAAGTGCAACATTTTTAGAAAACATGGGAAAAAAAACCTGCTGCATTTGCTGCATGATAAGTTATTACAGACAAAGCCACTTGGTGCTTAGAAGTACGAATGCTCGCAAGCGTTCAAATATCTTGAACTCCTAATTACTAAAATAAAACATGAGCGGGGAGTTTATTGTTTGAAACAGTGAGCCAAACTATTGAAACTCAGAATTAGGCTGTTTTGTCTTTTTTGTTTGTTTGTTCGTTTTTTAAAAACAAAGACAAAAACGTTTTCCCTGGAGATATATTAAAGAATGCCGGCCTGTCTGCCATCTCGCCACTGAACCTCGCGTGATGATGGAATGATGTCGTTAATAGGTCAGTGCATTATAAACAGTTACATAAGATTTGAAATGCAATTTCTTTTGAACTCTCTTTTGCGTCTCGAATTTTAGAGTACATTTTTACTACATAATCTTTTAAATGCTAGAAAAAGATGTGAGATTTAATAAAATCGAAAAAATGTTTCAAGCGCAAGGAAAAGTGAAAGTTCAACATGTCGGCGGCAATCAACAGTCGGTTTCGCCATTCGACTCTCAGACCATGAATAATCAGATTACAGGGAAATATTTTAAGCCGCCAAAGTGTCAGGACACCCTGTATCGAGCTGAAAAGACCCTCCAAGGAATCTCAATATTGTTAAAGCAGACACCTCTATCGTGCGGACTTCAATAGCGAGAGTCCCGTGATGACTGTTTAACACTTGATTAAGACAAATTGCGTGTCGTGCATGTTTGTATTGCTAGTTGGGAGTCCACATACGTTTGCAATGAGTAATTTAAAAGTATTAGCGAGAAGAATAATTAAGTCCGGAGTGGTATGAGCATACGCTTAAATTGCAAGCTTTTCGGCGTAAACAATTGTATGCTGGTCCATACTACGATGTTATGACTTTAAACAAACCGTAGAATAAAGAGAATAAAATTTGATTCCCATGCTACTCCGCTAATCGAAGCTCTAGTTAATTTCATGTTCTATTACCCGATAAATAACTTAAAGGAGTCTATGAAGGTTATCATGTTTAGCTACGCCACATCTGCAAGTACCTCTCTTTCAATATTCTATATCATGCACAGCAAAAGCGCAAAAGCAAAATGCTGAGCTTTCCCGCGGGTCATTTAGCCTCGAAGGCTTACATTCTTTACACTCACCCTCACGCTTGGCTCTCGCTGTCTCTGTTTTTGATCGGTTGGAGAGTGTTATTGCCAAAATAAGAGCAACAGTAACTACAACTGAAACAGCGACAAGAAGAATTCCGTTCCTTGCTCTGGAGCTTATCCCCGCCATGTTTCAACTAGTGTGCTGTACGAAAATAAAAAGAGGAAGGTCAAATAGCAGGGTCGCGATGCATGTAGTGCCGAGTACCCAGTTCCGAAAGAAGCGATAAAATTTCATAAAATCCCGAAAGTAGCGACCCCCCGAAAATAACGACCCTCCGAAAGCAGCGATTTCTGTTCTTTTTTATCTTTTCTCACTAGTCTCATTCAGGAACGATAATTGCGAATGCTAGAGGTTAATTAAGGGAGACTAGAGAAGATTGTTAGAAGAAGAGGGCAGAGGAAGGGGAGGGAAGGGGGAGAATTAGTTTGTCTCTAAACACGTGGGGGTCGGGTTGGGGGGAGGGAGTCCTAATCTTCCATTTTCGCTCCTTTCCCAAGAATATCCTTCATCCCGCTATTTCTCTTTTGTTTTCAAAAACAATAACATAAAAATAATCTAATAGCAATTTAGACTCTTGTATGTGGGGAATTCGGTAAATCTTACGAGCGCTCATTCGTAAATGAGTTCTTGTAAGATTTACCGAATCCACAACATACAGGCCAAAAAATCCCGCATCCTTTACCAAAATTCTGAAAAATACCGCTTCCCAGGTAGCTTTTTAATCCCGTGCTCCCGCTAAGATATCTTACGTTTTCCCGAATCGTGCGCCTTATTTTGGTCAAATCTCGGATCCCGAATATACCCTTACACATATATAACCCTTACACTGACCGTGAGAGAACGGGTGACAACGATAAACAACTCGTTAATATTTTCACTGGCCTCTGATAAACAACCAGTCGCAACTTTGCCATAGTTGAAGGCCAGAGCCGAAACGATAATATAACTACGGAAAACGTAACGCTGGTGAATAGACTGATGAACCTATTATCCTTTTTGCATATCTCCTCAGCTAATTTTTTGGTTCTGTCTATTGCCTTTCTTGATAAGTGTAAATAAAAAAGCGTGATGATTTAAAATTTCGATTCAGGTGTCAATTATCTTATTTTGTCTTTCATTTTAAGAGCTATAATTCCCTTTTATTTTGATTAGGAAGTGTTTTTTATTCTTAAGGCGCATTTCAATGCTCTCACTCAACTCTGGCCGTTTTTGTTCCTTTTCTACCCCTATGTCGAAGTCGAAAGCAATAGAAACGCTGAAACGCACTCAGCTATTTTGGTTTCTTGCCGAATGGATAAAGCGTACGTGAACCGGGAAGTTGACAAGTGAGATAACGCCGTAGCTCACACTGTTTATTTTGAGGTGTAAGCAACTTATCGTGAGGTCAAGATTGCTGGATTTTCGCCTAGTTCCCTTTTCGCAATAACAACAATAACAAAAATCTTGAAGAATATCAAATTTTAATGTTCAGTACTCTGCCAAATTGACCTCACGTGAAGTCAAGAATTTTTATATGTCACATACACCTCTTTTTGTACCACAGCAGAATAGAGGTGCCCGTGGAGGGCGATTCACATGCCAAGTGGCCTTCTGATGCCATCCACCTACGTACTACTCCACTCAGACCTCCAATGCATGGGATGCCTTATCCATCATTCATACGTAACATATGCCATTTCAGTAAACTGCCCCATTTTTTTGCTTTATCTCTGATGAGATCTTGGATTTTAGATGGATTTTGATTGGATTCTGATGCTGTCTGTTGGCTCAAACGTAAATTCTAACATCATGCAACATAAAACATAACTAAAGAGAACCTCAGCTGGCCTCTACTGTCTAGCAACTGCAAATGTTTAGACATGCCAGTCTCTTTGATAAAGGACGAAAAAAAGTGCAGCAAAGTGTAGATACCTATTTCAGAGTATATAAGGCCGTATTGAATAGTGGGGCTGTTCAGTGGAAGTTATCGCTTTTTTAACACTATACTAGTAAGATTGGGCATGTGTTGGGTAAATTCGTCTCTCAAGACAGTCCCATATTGCAGTTCGATACCACACCGCCCCAGTCTCACTCAATATTCTTAAACACACCAGGGGGTGTGAAGATGCTCTCCATCTCTCCTCGGAAGATTTTCTCATGGACTCGGCTCACACAGATCAACTGCGAAGATCAGCCATGTGGATGTTATCTAAACAGCTCTTATTGAATATTCAAGTAAAACAAAAATTTATCTTTAGAATCAGAATCAAGCAATTCAAGAGTCAGTTGACAAAGCATCTTAAAACTAAGGCGAGGACAACGCTACATTGCTAGAGACGTTTGAAACCCTAAGTTACTTCGCACTGCCAGACGTCAGAATTTGGTAATATTCGTATTCTCTAATAAGTTGAATATTGAAGCCAAGGAAATATGTCGGCATTGAGGATAGCAAATAAACAGACGTCCCAAATAAATAAGTGCCATTACCTCGGTTTGATACTCTCCAAATTGAGGGAAAACAGCTTTCATAACATTGTTATAATAGTGTAACATTCCGAGTTCGTCATTATTTGAACACTGGGACTTTCACCACATTCCACGACACGCGGTAACAGTGAAAGCATCTCATTCTAATTCATGTTCTGCTCATAACGATGATATCCCCTCTTATCTGATGCTCGTTCCTCATTTGATGCTGTAGGTTATAAGTTTTATTTTAGTCGTTAGAATGGAGCTTTATGTTGCCTCTAAGCAGGTGGAATCATTAATCAATATTATGTTTGACGGACAAGACGTTATTTGTTCAAAAGTTTCCAGAGTTATATCTCTTGCTGTAAGAACAAAGAAACCATGAGCAGGTATCAAACAGGTGACAAGCTCAGGTGATTTAGTTTCTGTCAAAACATGTTCTCTGAGTTTCCTCTGATTATAGCTTCTGGTGACATAAATAAATAGGATGATGCGTCGGAGTTCCAAGCCATCTTGAAAATAATGGCCAAGCGGCGAAGCGCATAGTGCTTAGGAGCGACTGAGTGGCCATTATCCGATTTAATGCAATCATCCATTGTTTTAGAATCAGAGGGTGATTTTTGTGGCCATTGAAGTGGAACAGAACAATAATTACTCACTTTTAAGTACGATTAGGTCCATGACAACCTTTATTACAAAATCAGAAATAATCATTCATCAACAAGAGAGGACTGTTGTTCATCAATATATACGACAAAGTTAGTAAAAGATGACACCGTTAAACTAGCTGCACTCAAACAAATAATTATAACAACTAGAGGGTCAGGAAATAGCTAGGTATTCATTACATAATTTACAAAACATTAAGACTGACGTCAATCAGACCTTGTTATACTGCACTCAGGTTTACTTTTGGATCATTTCCGGCAAGTTTGGACGCTTTCCAGACAACTTGAAAAACTAAGATGATTTTAGTATCTGTGACTTGTCATTGAATTGTGCCGTCAAGGAGAAAGAATTTGCTGTAACGAGTTTCACTTTTTTGTTACTATGACGACCTCAACTTCATCTCAGTGAATTTTAGCGATAAATCTCTCCTAAAAGACCACCACCGGATGTCTTTTCCATTCGCTCTCGTGTTTCCCAGATATTGCCCTTTTAAGTTGGAGCTGTGGCATGTGCCGTACCACCAGGCACCTCTGTTTGCCCTGAGCACAGTAAAAACTATCTCTGTCTTTTGTGCTAAACGCCATGTTATTATGGCGTGTTGTTAACGAATCTCCCGCCGTTCCTGAATATGAACCCACTTGAAGTCAATACTTCGCCTGCTCATCACCAATGTTAAACTTGCCATATTTAGCATATGCTCTCACTCCGTTCCAGTCTTCTACCTCCACTCGTAGAGATCTGGGTTTAGCAGCCGTCAGCCTGTGGATCTTGTCGTTTCCTAACCAGAACTCAGCCGTCAGCTGACCAAAGCCGGATTTGTAATCGTTCCATCCGCGATAGAAGTCCACCGAGCCATCTTGTCTTCTCTGGAACACGGTCCATCCTCCACCATCAGTGCGCATGTCACAATATACATTGAAGGATCCTTTACCGTCTGGGTTCACAGAGTACACTCCACTCTGAGTATGGCCTGATTTTAACAAATCAGAACAATCTGTGTAGAATAAACAACAGTAACCGTTTAATTTAGCAACGATAAACATTCTTGACCTAAAACAGATGAAAAAAGTCTATCAGGTAAAATTTATATTAGGACCATAGGATTCTCTACCGTTATCTTGATAGTCAAGATTAACATAACGCAATTCAATAATCTTAATTTGGGTGGATCATGTCAGTCATTGATTTATATCAATTCAACAGTTGATTACGGGCCCGATTATGGTCCCTCGAAAACTTCGGTACTTTCAAGGTGATAGCAGCTGCAGCTAAAACTATTCACCGTTGCCTGTATCAGTTGAAGTGCTTATATTAGGCTTAGCCACAAGTTGCTCGAAAACTTTTGCGCTTTTTGCCGACTTTTGATTTTTTTTAAGCATTTTTTAAATTATTGTACTTTCTTCGCGACATTTATTAGCTTTCGAAAGAAAAGTCAGCTAAATTCAACTGGTTTATACTACTCTGTGGGTGTGTGGGCTTCAGGACTGGCCCAATTACCAATGCCAGCTTTACTTGGTGTTGCACGCCTGCCCATGAGGTGAGCGGTATCACATGACACGTTTTTCAAGATGGCGGACAACAGATTCCAGCTGGAAAAAAGGGCAGATGAAGGGCCGATTAATTCTATTGAGGAAACTAAGAGGCTGGGGGCAAATCTCGCTACCCGCGAAAAAGCTAAGATAGCTAGAAAAAGAAAAATTCAGACAAGTCCGGCGGGTAAAAACCGCAATAAAACCAACTTCAAGTGTGGAAACTTCAAGCGTAGGCAAGTAAAAGAAAATAGCGAATTTTCGGCAATTTTCGAAATTCAGCGACTTTTCGCAACTTTAAAAATAAAATAGCAACTTTTAGATACATTTATCGGCAACTTTTTGGGAATTTATCGCAACTTGTGGCTAAGCCTAGCTTAGATGTCCTACTTATAATTGACCTTTTGGCGGAACTTGGACACAAGTCATCGTTTCCACGTTAAACACCCCTGCGCTGGTTGCAGCACATATGTAATAGCCTGCATCGTTCTTTGTAATGTCTCTAATCACTAACGCACCATTAATCTGCTGGTTCCTTCCAACTGGCAGATGACCTCCTTGTTTCCTCCAGCTAATAACTGGTTGAGGGTCACCAGTTGCGCTACAATTAAGCGTTAAGGCGGATCCGGACGGTGCAAAAATGCTCTCATTTGTCTTCACAGTAAAGCGAGGAAAAGAGACGATCATTACGAGTGTTTTCCTTTGAAAAATTCCAAGCAGGTTTGTTGCTGAACAAATATACCAATCAGAATCTATTTTTTGAGCATTTAAAAGTTGTAAGCTACTGTTGTTGTACTTCACCCTCTTTTGGGGTAACTGACCGGATGCCTTTCTCCAAATGACCACTGGTGCCGGGTAACCAGTCACGTGACATGGGGGAAGAGTGAAGTTGCTGCCTTCAATAGCGTAATGAGGCCCCGGGTGGAGGGAAACTCGAGGATGAACTGAAAGAATGCAAAGAAATGAACAGTTTTTTAATACAATATTTAAATTTAAAAAATGAACTTAAGTCGTTGGGATAATGTGATCATTAATGTATAAATCAAATTCTGTAGGTCGAATTTATAGGTGAGACCAACGCGTACTTTTCGTCCATTTTCTGAGTTTTCGGTGGCTCATTGGTAGAGCATCTGGACTAGTAACACTTAGACAAGAAGGTCATAAGTTAGCATATACCCACGTTAAGAGAGTTTGGATTTCTTCTTTCCGAGTGGCCTCTATTTTCACAGTTTTCCGTTGTTTTTTGTTGTTATGGTTATGAATTTTGCGAATCGGCATCAAGGGGACTACAAATGATTTAAGATTATGAGCAACATAAAATTAATTTACAAATTTGTTTCTGGCGAGTTCACTTCTTCGGGGGCCGCAATACTTAGCATTAGTGTTTATCGTATCCCTATCCAGGATACACCTATCACGGGGATGCACATACCATTGTGACAAAGGAAACTAGACTTGAAAGAAAGAGAGAAGGAAACTGTCAAGTCCAAGTGAATGACGTGATAAGTGTACTCGTCATCTTTTGCTGTGAACCTTTACTGAAAAATACCTTATATAAACACTCACCATTTACAACAAGCTGCACAAGTGTTTGCGAATGCCCTAAAATGTTTGTTGCTGAGCATTGGTATTCACCCGAGTCACTTTCATTCACATTCTTTAAAAGCAATCTCCCTCTCGAAACCGCTGACTTGCTTACTTCAGAAAGGTTACCCCTTTTACTCCACACTACTGCAGGCTCAGGATTACCACTCACTGAACAATGAAATGAAGCTGTTCCACTTTCGTTTACTGTCAGGTTTGTTGGTGAAACAGCAACAACAGGAGCTGAAATCGATTCACCAGGCTCTCCTTTTGTTCCCGGCATTCCACCGGGCCCTGTGTCTCCTTTTTGCCCTTTGAGTCCTAGGTCACCTTTGGGCCCTGCAGGTCCCATGATGCCTTGCTTCCCGCTTTTTGCTGGTAATCCCATAATACCTCTATCTCCTTTGATTCCTCGTGTTCCCTTCTTTCCTTTTCGTCCCCGATCTCCCTTCTCTCCTCTCGGCCCCGGTGGACCGGGGGGACCTGGGGGACCTGAAAGACATGTGTCACGTATTGATTTGTAAAGTTGCAGTTACGCTTCGATAGATTGTGCCTGCATAATGTTTGGCCTCATTCGACATTAAGAGCTTAATTTCTATCTATTTTCCGAAAAAAAGCACTGCTAGCATAAATTGCAATTTTGTCTAGTTTTGCATGCAGCACAGAATTGTTCTTTATCGATCACGCAACAAGACAACAAGACAACAGGACATTACGAGCATATTTTTCATCTTCAGTATTTGCCGAATAAAAGCAACGCAAGCATAATTTGCTATTTGGCTAGTTTTGCGGCAAAAAATTGTCATTTTTTTGATCACACAACAAACTTTTTGGCCGACGATCGGTGTATTACAGCAAATTTAAGTAACAAAATCATTTTTTTTGTCCGCTTATTGTCACACATTCATGGGACCTGGATCCCACGGGAAGTGCCCCTGGACTCTTTCCCGTGCATAACTAGATGGTGTCCTCGTGCTGGAGTTTTTATAGTTGTCAGACAGTTTTGTTGTTTCAATGGTTCACCTTTCTACATTAATCTACCACTGCAAATACTTTATGAATTTTATAATGAATTATGCACTAGTTTTTGATAAATGAATAGGGTAAATATGTTTGCCATTTATTTGTTTGTTGCTATGTTATTGAGGTGTTTTGACCAAAATTATTTAAAGTAAAAAGTAGAAGCCAAATGTCTGCAATTTTGCAAAATGAGCATGATGTACAAAAAGTAGTATAATTATTTTATAGCATCATTTAAGAAAAAACGAGCACTGCTAGTACGCTGCATTTGCGAGAAAAATCTATCAAAGCCTAGTCGCGGTCTCCCCTCTCATATAAAAGATTGTAAACTTCTTTAATTATGGTTGTGGTTGTTTTAGCTTTGCTGGTATTATTACCTGAATTCGCTTGTCTTCTAGCTCGATGATGTTCATCGTTGTAAAATTCTGCTTATAAAAATTTCAAAAAAATTCATTCAATTGTTCGCCAAGTATCAAGCTGAAAGAATGAGGAAACAAGTGAAGCAAAAATTATATTTCAAGGCCACGGTTTCTTTTACCAGTTATTGATTAAGCATGGAAGCATCAGTCACGTACGGCCTGTTGCCAAAAAGGAAACGAATTTTCCTCGGTGTAACCTTCAGTTTACTTGACAGCAGGGAACACAGGATGCCCACGCAAGCTAACTATCAAAGCCCCGAGCAGTCTTCCCTTCTTTTCTTTTTTCGCTCATCTGAGTGAGAACCATTCGCTTAAAAAAAGACTCCTGAAACGCGGTCAACACACAAATAAACAGCAGAAATTGTTCAAGGTAAGCTAAAAAGGGAACGTTCATGCACATTTTGTTCATTTATTAAGCAAGGAATAAATTCTCATACATCATTTTAATAATCGTTACTGCATGAATAATAAATTAGCTCAAAAGTAGGGTAGCTTGGGCGACCTGTGCAGGAACTCTCGCAAGAAAATTGTTATCAAAATACAGGGTAAGTGTGCAAAATATATCATCGTAGGATCCTGTAGAATATTCTTTTCAGGATGGTAAGAAACATTTCAGAATTTATTAAATTTTAAGCTATGCCTGTGCGTAAGACAAGAGAAATACAATCTACATACCACGCGCATCCTTGATGATTTTGACGAGGTTTCGATCGCTGGATAGTGGTTTTGTCTCCGGGTTGTTTTCAAGCGCGTTTAATCTTTTTTTCGGATTGTTCAACTCCAATTCAACTCTTAGAAACCCAATGCAATACAGAAGAATACCTAACGCAGAGATGGTGGTAGCAAAAGAAGGAAGGAGTTGTTTTTGACTCGTCATTTTCATGCGAGTTTCATTGAGTGTTGCTCATCTGAGGACTTGTTACGTGAGCTTGTTACTTGATACTGTTATTTAATCGTCACATTTGGAAGGCAAAGATCAAATTATTTTCGGGTTTTATCTATCAGTTGTAAGTTAAGCTTACCTTCTGGTTTGTTTTCTAATGTAAGGGGGTCATAAGGCTGGATCCACTATTAATAGCTCTGCAAAGAGTTTTTAGCATGGGATATTAGCTAAGGATCATTGACCTCACGCAGTTCTGACATTCGCTTCAAAGATGGCGCTCAAAGTAGACACCTCCTTGAGCGGACTCAAGAACGTGCCAGGAGTCAAACCAACATTTTTCGAAAAACGAAGTAGAGTGAGGAATAAACCCTCGAAGTTGTTTTTTTGTTAGTTTTTTGGGGGAGGAGGGGGGGGGGGAGGGAAGGGCTAGTACTGTACCTAATACTTTAGATATAACCAAGCCAAAGAACGACTCTTCCGTTTGTATGCTGTTAAACAATAAACGTTTCAGCAAGTAAACTTGTAAGCTATTGTAAACAAGTCTCCAAATCTACACTTAACTTTGAGAGTGAAGAGCTGGGTGATTTCCAGAAATAAAAAAATACATTTTAAGATAAAAAATTGTAAGGGAATACTGTAGGCTGACTTAATTTTGTCATAGACCCGGAAGGCACTCAACTGTACTTTAAAAAAAAAATGGAGTTGCTTCAGCCACCCGACAGAGGAATAAAATAACATTTCTTTATTTTGGATTAATATAACTAGTACTTTAATATACCGTTAATTTTTTTTTTCATATTGTAACAATTTTGAACGAAAAAATTACAACCCTCTTGTGTCCTCCCCCTTGTGTCAAAGTAGAATCTTTTAGTGATAATAAAACAATATTAAAATTGCTAACAGTAAAGTATTGATTCTTTTTTTTCTGACATGTTTCATCTGAGAACGTCTAAAAAACAAACGCATACTGAAATTGTGGGCAGGTACATGTAAGACCGGGTTTAGATTGATATTGGGAACGGAATATTTTCATAATACGAGTAAGCTTAACTTTTAACACAACAATACGAACAATCTGACACAAAAGAGCCAACTCCTAACAGTCGAGAATAATTCTTTGATAGATTCTTCTGAAATAGTTGGAAACTGCAAGTTTGTTTAATTCCTGTCTAAAAAAATTGATAGCAAGAAAGCGCAGAGATGTTGTTTTTTGCTTCTCGCATGCCTCTTTGCTCGTACCGGCTGCTGTCGTTCATGGTTGCTTAAACTCCCAAATGAAAAGTGACATCGTATAGTTTTAGTTTTATGCTAATCACTCACGTCCTATTCCACTCGCTGTTGGTACTCGCTGAACTGTTTTTATTTGTTAAGAACCGTATTGATGGACACTTAACAATTATTGTTACAATGCAGTTGATTATGCTGTATCTAATTTGTAAATAAATATAAATAAATAACTTTGGCCACCTCGCATATACATTAATGTATGCTTGATCCCTTGTTTAAAAACTGTTAGTTCAGAAAAAGCATAACATGAAACTTAAAACACAATGGAACCTCACAAATATAGCGAACCTCTAGCTAATATAACCTTTATTTAAAGAACTGTGTCGGCTTTTGCTCAAAATAGCGAGTAAAGCGGGAAATCGTCGGATTTGCAATTTTTCGCAATTTTAGCAAATTTGGTAGAATCCGCAACAGGCTTTTTGACTTTAGTGGTATTTCACATGACCGAAGGACTGCGAAAAATCGCAAGTAACGCCAAGATCCCTAATTTTTTTCTAAATATAACAGGCATTTAAAAAAAAAAGGATAAAAGGCCAGGAAGTCTCAAAAAGGCATGGAGGCGCGCTTACTGGTGATACTTCCGCTGTACTCTGAAATTAGATCAATTCTAACTAACTAACTAGCTAGGGAAAAGTACGTAAAAGCTCCTTATAAAGTTCTTCGATTCTCTAAGCATTTTCTCGTTCACTTTCATAAATGTTGGTGACATTGAAAGCTCAAGGGATACCTAACAAAGTTTTATAGGGTGAGGCTCTACCGCGAGGTCCAAGCTCTTACCCTCTAATAGCCCCGTTTTTGACAGAAAAGGTACCCCTTTCGTATGCCTTTTATTGATAAATGCTACCCCTTTCACATACCTAGTTAACGCGTTTTCTTCCCTTTTAATTGCGGTAAATGCACTGTCTTTAAAAAATGAATAAATCACAAAACCAGAACGTTTTCTCGACTTTTTCACAATCATAAAATGCATATTTTAGCTCCTTTGGTCCTTTTACAGACCGAAATGACAGATTTCCCATCCCTTTCATATACTTTTAAATAGTAAACTTCCTACCCTTTCTTACACTTCAAGCCTGCAAAAGGTACCCCCTTCGGGCGTATGGGCTATTATAGGGACTACCGTCAAACCTGCTTAATACGGACACCAAAGGGACTGAACCAAGTGTCTGCTTTTCAGAGGTGTCCGTATTATAGAGGTAGGGGATGTATGGTTTTTGGTATTTCTGGGACCAAACCAACTGTCCGTAATAGAGAGGTGTCCATATTATAGAGGTAGGGGATGTATGATTTTTGTCATTTCTGGGACCAAACGAACTGTCCGTAATAGAGAGGTGTCCGTATTATAGTGGTGTCCGTAAGGAGAAGTTAGAATGTACCCCCCCCCGGACTGGAAAGCACCAAATTTTGTACTTTAATAAGTCTTTAAGGGGTCCTTTTTGTCACAGGTTGATTGAATTATGAGGCATATTTGGTTTTATGATGCGGGTCTAAGTTTCATTTCCGCGAATTTTAGTGAAAGATATGTTTCCTTGAAGTAATACCAAGTGACGCCTCTGCGATCAACTTTTTCTTCCAGGTATTTTCCGTTAAGATTGGATTGGTGGCAATGCTTGAACCGCCAGGCACCAGAGAATGTCACAGCACAGTTATTACTCCATCTATCATTATCCCTAACCTTGGTGCTAAAAGCCATGTTATTATGATCTGATAAAGAATCCTTCGCCGTCCCTGGATATGAGCCTACATCAAGTCGATACTGCGCCCGTTCATCGCCAATCTTGAACTTGCCATATTTGGCATATGCTCTTACCCCATTCCAATCCTACACTTCTACTCGTAGAGAACTGGGTCTCGCTGCCGTCAGCCTGTGGATCTTGTCGTTTCCTCACCAGACCTCAGCCGTCAGCTGACCAAAGCCTGATTTGTAATCCGCGTTCCATCCGCGATAGAAGTCCACCGAGCCATCTTGTCTTCTCTGGAACACGGTCCATCCTCCACCATCATTGCGCATGTCACAATATGCATTGAATGATCCTTTTCCGTCTGGATTCATAGAGTACACTCCACTATGAATATGGCCTGATTTGAGCAGAGATTAACAGTCTTGACCTAAACAAAATAAAAAACGACAGTGGAACTCCACTCTACGGACACCCTCTTAATACGAACACCCGTGGGTACATAACGGATAGTTTTGTTTGTCCGGACAAAAAGCTCATAAACTTTCTCTAAATTCAACCCGGTTAATACGGACACCGATTAATAAGGGCAACAGACACTTTCATATGTTCCGAGTGACAAATTCTCGCCAAAGGCTCGCTTTACGGACGCTGATCACCTGCGCACTGTCTATGACTGAATGTGTTACCAGCAGAAACAACAAATGACCTTTCAAACGTTCTGTCCAGTGTTCAGTCCACCTGGCTGAGCGGCAAACTAAAAGAATCAGCACAAAGTTGATTTATGGATTGCATTGAGAAGACGTTTTTCAAGACACTGAAATACTTGAAAGGCGGTTTCAACCTGAGATAAAAAATCGTGAGATTTCTTAAGAATGACCTTGTTAAAGTTGAAGATAACGTTTCCTGGTGAAAATGTTTGCTTTAGCCAGGACCACCCAAGGACTGTTTTCTGTCAAATCTCTCTTCGGAGAAGCAAAAATTGCCTAGAATTTTCTACTACTTGAGGACTGCCGAAATTTCTAGATGATGCCCGTTCGATTCGTGTACAGTTTAAAAGAGGAAACCTATTTTCGATTTCAAAAATTTAAGGGAAAGAAGAATTAGAAAATGCCTAACTTTTGTAAAACGTAATACTCAAGCCCTCGTAATAACGAAAAGGCTCAATTTGGCCCAGGAGCCCGAACAGATACAAAATTTATAGCGCCGCTTAAAATGCCTTTCTAGAGATCCAAAAGAACTCTGGATAGCCTAAAAAGTGTTTTTAATGTATTTAAGCGGAAACCGTCGTTGGGTGCCATGTGTCTGTGACGTTTTTTTTTTTTTTTTTTTGTGAGAACCCTTTCAATACGGACATCTGGATAAAACGGACACTTTAACATGTCCGCTCGTTTAGAACAGGGTTCCACAGCAGAGCCATGGGATTCTCTACCCCCATCCTCAAAATCACGATTGACATAATGCGTTAATCTAAATTTTGAGTATCACATCAATCTTTGAAATATAAATAACTTACAATGCGATTACAAGCTATAGAAGGTAAACCAGGAGTACTACGGCGTCCCTCGAATCATCGGTAATTTCAACATGCATCAGTCAGTTTAGGCGCTTACAGGCTCTATTTACAACTGACCTCTTGGTGGATAAACTTGTCTTGTTTATATTTCTGTTTTACCGAGTTGCAGTGAGCTGGCTTTCGCATTCGGTTTCAGTTTGAAGTTTGGGCCAACATGTTTGCCGCTTTTCTGCAGCCGTAGCCCACCTGTCGAGTTTTTGATGCTTCGGAAACCTACAAACTCATCCTGTTTCCTTGAAGACATAAGCGTCCATTTTGATTGCAAACAGCAAATCAGTACTAAACATTAAAAGCTTAAGACATCCACGTAATTGTATTTAAAAAGACGTCCATACAAAGTTATTTTAGGTGGAATCCGTGCTAAACACTCTGCAAGTTCACTGAAAGTCAGTTCATTTGCAATTTTTGTTTATCCTCCAACGCCTCACTTTCATGACTAGGCACCAGTTTTTTCTCGCGTGTCCGCCATTCGTGAATACGGTGTATGGAGAGCCAGTAAAATAAGACTAAGGTTGCTGAGACTGAGGTGCGTGGCTACTGAAAAATGTAGCTTCTTACATGGCTTTTTTTAATGTTTTAAATGTAGTCAACCGAAAAGAACAGACTATATAGTGTATCCCACTTGCCGTTATGATTTGTTTTATTGTTTTCAGCTCTAAAACAATAGAAAGAGTTCCAGCGGGTAAATCATTATAAGCATATGTTACATGTAAATCTGTCCAAAGGAAGTGAAAAATAAGCTGGAGTTCCAAACGAACTCGCTCACGATATAAGCGAGCCTTGAGTTAAGGCCACAACCCTTACTAATACATAGCTCGAAAGTAGAAATAAAACTTAGTTATATTTTACTAAGAATAATGCCAAATAAAAAAGGTTAGTGTCTACATTGCTCAGTTGAATTGTGTTTCAAAGCTGAAACGGAACTGTAATTTCATTGATACGCAATGGAACCTCTATAACTATAACGAGCCTCCATACAGCAAAGTCCTCAGTAAAACGAACGATATTCTTCGCCCATGAAATAGTAAAATGTATGGGAAAAAATCTCGATATAGCGAATTTTCGTTGAAGCATTTTTTGCCAGTACCTGTGGCTCTCGTTATATCGGGTTTCCACCGTATGACGTTTGAGAAATGCTTGTTGTCATGTAGGTATCCTTCTTTGAGTAAAATTATCAGTTAATTTGTTAACTGTTATAACTCTTGTTATGGGTCGCAAAGACTACTGCAGTAGTTTGCTCTTCAATGTTCCTGCAACACATATTGCTAAGAATCCGCGCGTACAGAATTGTCTGGCCCGATTAGTTTGTCGAACACCTAAATTCGACCACATAACACCTACCTTAATTCGAATGAATGAATGAATGAATGAAGAGTGAATGAAGAGTCGTGGATTAGAGGACAACAGACGTGCCCCCTTTAAAAATACAGTTTTAACATGTGAACAGTAAGCTCGGACGTCATCATACAAAGGCGCCACTGGCAGCCGCTCTCAGTCCATTTATGAGCTTACCGTACCCACCCAATTGCAACCCATGATGTGAATGATCAAGAGCCATAATGGAACTGAAATTCACATATCCCAAGGGCTAGACTGGGCGTTTCCGTCTCTGTCCCATTATGGCTCTTGGAATGATGTGATGTGTGAAGGTTGACCACAACACCGGGATCTACACCCCCTACTCTTTTCCAACAGTGATGTGGGTTCTTTTACGTCCCACAAGAAGCAGATATTTAACAATTATTCCACGAGGGCGCGTTGGATATGAGATGATAGATAGCCAACGAGGCGCATAGCGCCGAGTTGGCTATAATCATTTCATATCCAACAAGCCCGAGTGGAATAATTGTTTTATTAAAAACGCCAACAAAATCTCGTTGAATCGCCCCGACTAGAACAAACCGGAAAAGACAAGGGACTTCCGCTATTGACATGTCACACGTCTATCAAAACTGTCAACGCGCGAACGGGCTCGCCTAGACTGCATGAATGAAAAATCAAAACATTGTGCGATGAACATTAGTTTTTTAAAAACTCATCGTGATTCTAGGATTTTACACAGCAGAACAGCTTAAAAAACCTGGCAGATAATGTGAAGGAAAGGAATTTTTAAGTGACAGCCGTCGAAATTACTATGAATTTGGATTTTCGGTGCAGTTATAAAAGTAAGAACAACGGAGAAAAACTACCGGTACTTCGGTCGCTTGTTATGAAGTTGTTTGAAGCCACAAGCTGGTTTTGCTGAACGAGAAAAGAAGCTATACTGCCGCCTCGATTGCTCTAGTGAATGGCAGCATAGCCTGTATTTGTAGCTGGTTACTTGTGATTTATATTGTTGATGTCGGATAAACAAGCTGTAGTTATCTATCGGCGAGTGACTCGATCGGCGAATGGCTTCGCGATCATGAAGAAACAACACTTGTCTTCTTTCGTAGCTGGTCAAGGTACTTTAGTTCCATGTGTTTTCATGTGTTTTTCGAAATTGCATTTCTAGTATTCTAAGAAATGAATTAAAACGATTTGCTTCGGGCGCCGTTCTATCCTTCGACAAAAAAATCTCAGGTAGCTTCCAATTTTAAACTGACGCGTACACCGACCATATATGGAGAACATGGTATATTAGCTCATATACCATAACGGCTAAGCCAATCAAAATGCTAGAATTGCATTATCTAATGATTCAGTTTTTAATAATTAGTGTTAGTGCTGTGAGAGGGGACCTACGGCTTTTCGTCCTTATCCAAGAAGACTAGCAAGACTAACCGTTTGCGTGATGTCATTACGAAGGCAGCACTTTCTTCTCATCTAAAGACCCTGCGGTGTTGGTCCGGCCTGGGATCGATTCCGTGACCTCCCGCTCAGGAGACCGACGCTCTCCCAACTGAGCCAACCAGGCGGTGGTTCGTCTGCACTGGCTTCCAGTTTCTTTTATGCATCAGTCAATTCCAGCTGTGCGTAGCCCCTCTCTCTCCCCCCGTGCTGATCCCCGGGATTACCATTTTTTTTTGCCTTGGATGGCAAATTCCCGGGGTTGGGGACCCTTGAGCTGTCAAATCCTTCGGTGTGCGACGAAAAAAAGGAGCGAATGCCCCGTCCTCCGTCAAAACTGCAACATTTTTCATTGATCGCACTGTCGAATAGTGCCGTTTTAAGCATTTTAATGAGCGATTTTTTGTGTCAATTAACGTCTTTCTTGGTAATAGCGCTAGGAATCCGCCTAGGATTCTAATTAAGACTTCACGCCGCTACGACATGCACCAGTTTATAATTTTAGTATTGATGTAAAATTATTGACATTAAAATTAATAGATCGCTGTAAAGTTATATGTTATGAACAGTTATATAAATATGAAAGGATAGTCATCTCTATCATCTGAAATTTGATTCTATAACCAAAAAACGTTGATTCACGTCGATAGCTTCTGATTTTTCTATGTAATTCTTGCTGGATTAGCAATGAAGAAATGCATGCATAAAATCAAGAACATGCCTTTACAACCTCTTCAATTTTTTCCTGTCCATGACAAATGAGCTAGGCTCGATTACCAGCCGCTGTTCGGGAAAATGAGCCCACACTCATCCCCCCGAAAGAGCCTCTCTCTTCGGGGAGGATCGAAGACCGGACCCGGGAGACGGCGGAAATCGAGCCTACAAATGAGCCAGTCTGCTTTCTTTTCCAGTAAAATCATCTGTGTAGTTATCTTCTGATAGGAAACCGCGTGCGTGACAAAAGCTCGGGAATGGCCCCGGGGTTGGCGAATGCCCGACCACAGGGCAGCGCAAAATTTGCAAATGCCCCACCCCCGGGACTGACAAGGCCGGCAAATGACCCGCAGTATCCCGGAGGGGGGAAGAGAGGGGGGGGGCTGGGCGCACCTGGAATTGACTGAAAAATGTTGATCCTAAGTTTTAAGGCAATTTATGGTCGGTCGCACAGTCCTATTTTGTAACTTAAACAAGATAAAGAACGTATACGATATAACCTGCGTTCGGGGCGATCCCGCACCTATTTGAAAAATTGTTTTTGATTAGCTGGGAAAACAGTAGGGATTGTCACATAACAATGCCCGGCCTTCCGCTGAAAACAACGCAAGTGCAGATTAAAGGGGACCAGTGTAATAAGAGGTTTAGAACGGTGCATGTCTACTGTGCGTTCGTGCAACGAACTGTTGTCAGAGACACCGTTGGTTAAGACCAAGAAAACTCTCGGAGATAAATCATTCCAAGTAGCAGCCCCTAGCTTATGGAATACATTACTCTCTGAAATAAGACAAATTAGAGGTTATGATCTTTTCAAAAGAGCAATTAAGACGTACTTTTTCATAAAAGCATTTCCTTGTAACATCTAGAGCCTCTGTATTTGTTAGTTTAGTTTTCAGCTTTATTTTATATTCTATAACATTCTAGTTATTAACCTTGCCATATACAGGTTTACTATTAAATTGATACTTTAAAACAAATTCAGAACTTTTTTCGCAGCAAATGCGATATACTTCTTTATTTGAGTGTCTTGGATCATTTCTGGCCAGTTTGGACACTTTCCAGACAACATGAAAAACTAGAATGATTTTAGTGACATATCATTGAATTGCGTTGTCAAGGAGGAAGACTTTTGCTGTAACGAGTTCCATTTTTCTGTTACAATGACGGCCTTAACTTCATCTCAGTGAATTTTAGCGATAAATAGTATTGTTTAAAGTGCCACCAAATGACTCCTTGCCCATTTCCCTTTACGTTTCCCAGGTATTTTCCGTTTAGATTGGAGCTGTGGCATCTGTTGTACCACCAGTGAATAACACAGCACAGTTACTACTGCTTCCGTCATTATCTCTGTCTTGTGTGCTAAACGCCATATTATTATGATATGTTAACGAATCTCCTGCTGTCCCCGAATATGAACCCACTTCAAGTCGATACTTCACCTGCTCATCACCAATCTTGAACTTGCCATATTTAGCAAACACTCTTACTCCGTTCCAGTCCTCTAGCTCTACTCTTAGAGAGCTGGGTCTAGCTGCCGTCAGCCTGTGGATCTTGTCGTTTCCCAACCAGAACTCAGCCGTCAGCTGACCAAAGCCTGATTTGTAATCGTTCCATCCGCGATAGAAGTCCACCGAGCCATCTTGTCTTCTCTGGAACACGGTCCATCCTCCACCATCAGTGCGCATGTCACAATATACGTTGAAGGATCCTTTACCGTCTGGGTTCACAGAGTACACTCCACTCTGAGTATGGCTTGATTTTAACAAATCAGAACAATCTGTAGAGAATAAACAACAGTAACGGCTTTATTTTAGCAGCGATAAACAGTCTTGACCTATAACAGAATGAAAAACGTCTACCAAGTAAATTTCTATGACAGTGGAACTCCAATCTACGGACACCCTATTAATACGGACACCTGTGGGTATATAACGGATAGTTTTGTTTGTCCTAACAAAAAGTTCACACATTTTCTCTAAATTCAACCCGGTTAATACGGACACCGATTAATAAGGACAACGGGCACTTGTTCCGAGTGACATATTCTCGTCAAAGGCTCGCTTGACGGACACTGATTATCTGCGCACTGTCTATGACTGAATGCGTTACCAGTGAAAATCTGGCAGAAACAACCAATGACCTTTCAAACGTTCTGTCCATTGTTCAGTCCACCTTGCTGAGTCGCATACTAAACCAAAAGCGTCAGTACAAAGTAAAGTTACGGATTCCATTGACGTTTTTCAAGACACTGAAATACTTGAAAGGTGGTTTTAATCTGAGACTTTGATAAACAATCGTCGGGTTTCTTAACAGGAAAATCGTTAAAGTTAAAGATAACAAAGTTTCCTGGTAAAAATGTTTCTTTTAGTAAGGACCATCCAACGACTGATTTCTGTCAAGTATTTTTTCGGAGAAGCAAATATTGCCTAGAATTTTTTGTTTCTTGAGGACGGCTAAAAATTTCCGTTCCATTTGTGTGCAGTTTAAAAGAGGAAACCTAAAATTTTCGGATTCAAAAATGTGGGGGAGACAAAAATTAGAAACTGCCTAACTTTTGTAAAACCTCAAATTTTTTACATAAAATGTTCGGCAAAATAATACTCAAGCCCTTGCAATTTCCAAAAGACTCAAGTTGCCCAAGGACACCCGAACAGATATAAATTTTATAGCGCCGCTTAGAATGCTTTTCTAAAGAACTCTGGATGGCCTTCAATATATCTGTAGTAACATGATTTGTAGTGATATTTGGCATAAATAACACGAGTGATAATTCAAAATTGCTATTATACGTAATTTCACGAACTGTTAGGCGAATGTTTACGGCAAACGGCAAACGTCAGATTCAAGTTGGGAATTTCTCAGAATAGAAAAGAAGCAGATAAAAATTGTCCAGAACAATTCTTCTGGATAAAACTGACGGTTAACTACTTATTTCTGTGTAGAAGTAATAAACAGTAAACGACAATTAAGGGGAAAACATGGTCACGTGGTACAAATTCACGTTTGCCGTTTGCCGTAAACGTGAATCTTAATCTCTATATTATTTGTTTATACTACTACCCGAAAAGGTTTTGTAATTTTCACATGTAGGTATTTCAAATTAAGCTGAGATACCACTGCTCTAAGCCAATCAAATGCAAAAATTTTTTCACGTAGAAGTATAAAAGAGTAAACCGTCGTTGGGTGCCCCTGTTTAGTCTTTAGATCGATAAAACATGTGTTCCTGACGTTTTATTGTTATTGTTATTATTATTATTATTATTATTATTTTTATTTTTATTTTTGGAGAACCCTCTCATTACGGTAAGCCCGGATAAAAAGGACACTTTAACACTTTAACGCTCGGTTAGAACAGGGTTCCACTGCAGAGCCATAGGATTCTCTACCTCCACTTCAAAGTCACGATTGACATAATGCAGTTTCATTTTAATCTAAATTTTGAGTTTCAAATCAATCATTGAAATATAAACATGCAACTTACAGTGCGATTAGGAGCTAAAAAACGTATACCAGGAGTACAACGGCGTCCCTCGAATCATCGGTATTTTCAAAGATCAGCGGCTTAACTATTCACGGCTGCATCAGTCATTTAAGGTAATTCCCTTGAAATTGTTCTACATTCATGATACGAACATTAAAAAAATGCAACAAAAAGATGGGGTCACCGTGCTTGTTTACGCGTCAGCAGGCTCTTAAACTGGGGAATTTTACTGGTTGCGAATCCCCTTCTTACAGAATGAAGTCGTTGTTACTTGAAACACACAAAATTTTATCTTGAACATAAAGCTTCTTTTATTCAAATAAGCAGTATTGCTTCATTTAATTCGTTTTCGATTGCCTGGTTGTGGGGATATTGCGCTTTTTCCGACAGTTCCCTGGTTAGCTTGAAGTCCTCGTCTTGAACCAAATACACCAAACAAAGTTATTTCTGGCGAGTTCACTTCTTCGGGAGCCGCAATGTTGATGTAAACATTCGTTGTCATTCCTCTCATCCAACATGATTATATATGTCACTGGTCGTGTTAAATAAGTTATGTACGTAATTTCATTCGACAAGAGAAGGGGATACACATATCTCTGCTCTGATTCATTTACATGTGTATCCCCCGAGAGCGCCACAATATTCCACCTTCTCATTTGGTTTGATCTCTGGATTACGTGGTTGTGTTAGGAATTGTGTTAGGTGATCGTGACTGAAGAAATATCCTTAAGCAAGATTGGGTTCAGTTATATATGTATCCCCCGCGTTACCGCGTACTGCGGTTTGTGTCAAATACACAGCCCTGGAGGTAAGTGAGAACTGAGCCGAATCTTCGACATTTTCTCTTCGTCTCCTTGACAAAGTGTCGGATACAGTGTTTAAGAATCTAACTGAAAACAAAACAATCATTTGTTTCCTCTTAAGCCGCCACTTTTATTATTATTCTAGCGTCGCGGATACGGCCAGATACTATTAGTGTTTATTGTATCCCTATCCGGGATACACCTATCACTGTGATACAAATACCATTGTGACAAGGGAAACTAGACTAGAAGCAAACTGTCAAGTCCAAGTGAATGACATAATCAGTGTATTGGTCATCTTTTGGAGTGAATCTTTACCAGATTATATTTTATATAAACTCACCATTTACAACGAGCTACACCAGTGTTTGCGCATGTCCTAAGATGTTTGTTGCTGAGCATTGGTATTCACCCGAGTCATTTGCTTTTACATTCTTTAACAGCAATCTCCCTTTTGAAACCGCTGACTCACTTACTTCAGAAAGGTTACCCCTTTTACTCCACACTACTGCAGGCTCAGGGTTACCGCTCACTGAACACTGGAATGACGCTGTTCCACTTTCGTTTACAGTCCGGTTTGTTGGGGAAACGGCAACAACAGGAGCTGAAATCGATTCACCAGGCTCTCCTTTCGTTCCCGACATGCCAGCGGGCCCTGCGTCCCCTTTTTGCCCTTTGAGTCCTGGATCACCTTTGGGTCCTGCAGGTCCCATGATTCCTTGCTTCCCGTTTTTTCCTGGTGATCCCATAATACCTCTATCTCCTTTGGTTCCTCGTTTTCCCTTCTTTCCTTTTCGTCCCCGATCTCCCTTCTCTCCTCTCGGCCCCGGAGGACCGGGTGGACCTGGGAGACCTGAAAAACATGTGTCACTTGTTGTTGCAAAGTTGAGTTAGGCTTTGATAGATTGTGCTTGCAGGCATAATTTTTGGCATAATTCGAGAATAATAGGAGAATAGTCTACATATATTTTCCGAAAAAAAGCGCCGCTAGTATAACTCGCAATTTTGGTTAGTTTTGCAGCGCAAAATTGTCATTTATTGATCACGCAACAAACTTTTTTGGCCGACGATCAGTGTGTTACAGGCAAGGTTAAGCAACAAAATAATTTCTTTGTCCTCTTATTATCACATTCATAGGACCTCGATCCTACAGGAAGTGACCCTGGAATCTTTCGGTTAACCAAGATGGTGTCCGTGTGCTGGTTGTTAATTGTTTGAGTTTTTATAGTTGTCAGACAGTTTTGTTGTTTCAGTGGTTTACCTTTCTCTATTCACCTATCACTGCAAATACCTTTTTAAAATGAATTATGCCCTAGTTAAGTTTTTTAGTTGTAATTAGGGTAAATATGTTTGCCGTTTACTTGTTTGTTTACTTGAGGTGTTTTGTCCAAAATTATTTAAAGTAAAAAGTAGAATCAAAATTTCTGCATTTTTTGCTAAAATGAGCATGATTTACAAAAACTAGCATAATTACTTTACAGCATCATTTAAGAAAACTACGAGCACTTCTAGTAGCATATTATGCTACTTTTGCGAGAAAAATCTATCAAAGCCTAGTCGCGGTCTCCCCTCTGATAAAAGTTTATGAACTTCTTTAATTATGGTGGTTGTTGTTATTACTTACCTGAATTCGCTTGTCGTCTGGCTCGATGATGTTCATCGGTGTAAAATTCTGCTAATAAAAATTTAAAAATTTTCATTCAATTGTTCGCTCAGTATCAAGCTGTAATAATGAGGAAACAAGTGAAGCAAAAATTATATTTCAAGACCATGGTTTCTTTTACCAGTTATTGATTAAGCATGGAAAAATTAGTTACGTACGGCCTGTTGCCAAAAAGGAAACGAATTAACCTCGGTGTAATGTTTAGCTTCTTTGCGAACAGGAAACACAAGAAGGTAACGCAAAGCTTAAACTATGAAAGCCCCGTGCAGTCTTTCCTTCTTTTCTCTCTTCGCTCATCTGAGTGAAAACCAGTCCCTCGCTCAAAAAAGGTATTTCTAAGACGCCTGAAACGCAGTCGACAAACAAATAAACAGAAGAAAACGTTAAAGGTAAGCTTAAAAGGGAACATTCATGCACATTTTGCTTATTTATTGAAAAACAAAATAAATTTCTCAAACAAAGTTACGTTTTAATACTGAATCGTTAATACTGCATGAGTAATAAAATAGTGAGTAGGGTACGTAGTGTTGCTCAGCGCTCTGATAGTGTGCTTGCGCTACCAGTGCAGGAACACTCAATCGCGAGTAAATGGTGATCAAAAGACAGTTTAAGTATGCTAAATTAATCATCGTAGAATGTTTTTTTTTTAAGATGGTAAGAGACCTTTCGGAATTAATGAAATTGTAAACTATGTTCAAAGGCTGCGTAGAACGAGAAGAACAAACTTTGTACATACCGCGAGCATCCTTGATGATTTTGACGACGTTTGAATCGCTGGATGGTGGTTTTGTCTCCGGTTTGTTTTCAAGCGCATTCAATCTTTTCTTCTGATTGTTCAACTCTAATTCAACTCTTGAAAACCCAATGCAATACAGAAGAATACCTAACGCAGAGACGGTGGTAGCAAAGGAAGGAAAGTGTTGTTTTTGTCTCGTCATCTTCGTCATCCAAGTTTCTTTGAGTCTTGCTCATCTGAGGACTTGCTACGTGAGCTTGTTACTTGATACTGTCATATTCGCGTCACATTTAGAAGGCAAAGATCAAATTGGTTTCGGCATTTGTCTGCCAGATGTAAGTTATGCTCTGCGTCGGGTTTGTTTTCTTATGTAAGGGGGTCATTTAGTCTGCTACACAGCCGTTTTTAGTGACGACACTAAAAACGGCTGTGTAGCAGACTAGGGGTCATTAGGCTGGATCCACTATTATAAGCTGAGCAAAGAGTTCATTTTTCCAGGATATTGGGATTATTGTTCTCACGGAATTCTGCGTTTAGTTCCCGTATATCATTTGTCAAACACGCTGCTGGCACTCAAAGTGGGCGCCTCCTTGAGCGGTCTTTTTTACTTAAGAGAAGTAGAGTGAGGTAACAACCCTCAAACTCATTTGTTTGGGGGGTGCGGTGAGGGGGGACTGGTACTGTACGATTATACTGTAGATTTAACCAAACCCAAAAGTGAAATACACCAATTATCAGCACTCAAGCACGCCAGAAGCACGCATACCAACTCCAACGTATAGCCAGTACCTTACGCATGCGCACAACAATATCACCCCGGCAGTAGCAGCAATGGACAGTTGTTTCGCCCTCATTGGGGCTCATCAGCATGGGATAGCCGTCTGGTCAATGAACGCTAGAAGCCGTGTATCAAGAACCCTTTACCGTAGAAGCGAGTGCAAAAGTAACTCCTTTGAGCGCCAGCTCTACCGTACACATGTGTATACTGTTATTTAACAATAAACCTTTCTCTTTTAAGAGGGTCTGAGTTGGGTTTAGTGTTTAGTGTTATTTGACCATAATTTTTAGTGTTTGCTGTTAAATTGGTAATTTTTTTTTACCCTTTACTGTTTCCGAAGAAAATACCGTTAAGTGTTTGGAGGGTTCTTCGGACATCTTGGGCGATCATCGGACATCTACGTTAGTCTTCGGAAATCCTCGACAGTCTTCGGGAATCTTCGGTGGCCTTCGGAAATCTTCTGAAATAATCCGGAAGTGTTGTAAAATGGCCGAAAACTTCCTGATATACTAAACAAAATATTACTGGCCTTTTGGAGCCCTTTTTTGTTTCTTTCTGAAAAAAAATTACTATTTCAAAGAATTTTTTACTGTTAGTGTTCAAGTGCATAAAATTTAACTGTTTCATTTGACAAAACCAAAAAATGAAGTGTCTAGTGTTATTGAGGTACCCCCATTCAGATACAAATCTATACTTAACGGGTTGGGTGCAAGAAATGTTCAGACGGAAAAGCCTAGTACATTTGAACTAAAAAGCATTAGAAAACAAATTCGATCACAGCATCCCCTAAAACTTCTTTTTGAGAGAATATTGTAGACTGCCTTGATCTTGTCATAGTCCCTGAAGGCACTCAACTGTACATTCTTAAAACTGAACTTGCTTCAGTCACTCGACAGGAATAAAATAAGATTTCCTTATTTCTTTAGTTTGGATAAAAAAGAACCTTGACGGTTAAAGTACCTACTTTTAATAAAGAAAAATATATAAGAACCTGTAGCCAAGCAAGATCAATGGGGTTCTTATATGCGGGTTAGCTAGGAAGTATTTACCACGGAGTTTGGTTTTGAGATCGCAAATTTAGATTTGATTTGATTGAAAGATTACAATGCATACACCTGTAGGTACATTCTGTAATCAGTTTTGTTACGCTTATTACAATCCACTTGTGAATAAGTATTACATGTTTAAGGACCAAACCCAAGTTTATTAATTTCTATTGCTATCCTCTTCATAGAAAACTTGACCTTATAAAGAACCTACAGCAGTATTTAGCCTCCACTACCGATAACTCATGATCCCAAATTAAAATACAAGAATATATTTTACCAGACTCGAAAAATGTGAGTCGGCTCGTACCTCTTGTAACAAGTCCTAGTAATGGCTGAGAAAACAATGAAACAAACAATGAGCGCTAACCCCGAAACAACAACAGTGCAAGCCATGGGGCCATTAAAATAAGAGGTTGCTGAGAGGTGCGTGGCTACCGAAAAATGTAGCTTCTTACATGGCTTTTTTCCCCCTTATTTTTAAAATGTAGTCAACTGAAAAGAACAGACTAGTGTATCCCATTTGCCCGTTATCATTTGTTTTATTGTTTTCAGCTCTAAAGCAATAGAAAGAATTCCAGCGGGTAAATCATTATAAGCATATGTTACATTTAAATCTGTCCAAAGAAAGTGAAAAATAAGCAGGACTTCCAAACTCACTCACGATTTAAGCGAGCTTGGAGTTAAGGCCACAACCCTTACTAATACATAGCTCGAAAGTAGTTGACATTACAGATTCACTAAGAATAATGCCAAATAAAAGAGGTTAGTGTCTACATTGCTTTTTGAATTTGTTCCAAAACTGAAACGGAACTTTAATTTCATTGATACATGTATGCAGTGGAACCTCTGCAATTATAAGGAACCTCCATACAGCGAAGTCCTCGGTAAAACGAACGATATTCTTCGCCCATGAAATAGTAAAATGTATGGGAAAGAATCTCGATATAGGGAATTCTCGTTAAAGCATTTTTTGCCAGTACCTGTGGCTCTCGTTATATCGGGTTCCACCGTATAATGTTCGAGAAATGCTTGTAGTAATGAAGGTATCCTTCTTTGAGTAAAATTATCAGTTAATTTGTTAACTGTTATAACTCTTGTTATGGGTCGCAAAGACTACTGCAGTAGTTTGCTCTTCAATACTCCTGCAACACATATTCGGACATATTCCTTAGACAGAGCGCATACAGAATTGTGCCGCCTGATTAGTTCGTCGAACACCTAAATTCAACCACATAACGCCTACCTTACTTCGTCTGCACTGGCTTCCAGTTTGTTTTAGGGTTGAGTACAAAAAATCGATCCTAAGTTTTCAAGCAATTTATGGTCGGTCGCACGCCCTATATTTGTAATTTAAACAAGATAAAGAACGGACACGATATAACCTGCGTTCGTGCAACGAACTGTTGTCAGAGAAAACATTAGTTAAGACCAAGAAAACTCTTGGAGATAAATCATTCCAAGTAGCAGCCCCTAGCTTATGGAATTCATTACTCTCTGAAATAAGAGCAATTACGTTATGATCTTTTCAAAAGAGCAATTAAGACGTACTTGTTCAAAAAAGCATTTGCTTGTAACATCTAGAGCCTCTGTTAGCATGATTACTCGTGTATTTGTTAGTTTAGTTTTCAACTTTAATTTATATTCTATAACATTCTACGATAATGGACAAAAGTCTTAGGACAGTCGTACAGTTCGAACGCTTTTTAACACACGCGAAATTGGATCCGCGCGCTACTAACACTGTACGTCCCTACCACCTCCCCCCACCCCACGGACAATGTTGAAACCGTCAAGGCACAATTTCTTTGATCTTTCAACATTGTATTGGATGGGGAGGGGAGAGGGGACATGGATTTGTAAAATGACTGCACTGCTTTTTGCGACATTACTTGTGAAACGCATAGAATTGAAGTTACGCTCTCACTGTCCCAAGGACTTTTGTCCATGATTGTAGTTTTTAACCTTGCCATAAAGAGGTTTACTATTAAATTGATACTTAAAAACAAATTAAGGGCTTTTTTCGCAGCAGATGCGATATACTTGTTTATTTTAGTGTTTGGGATCATTTCTGGCCAGTTTGGACACTTTCCAGACGACGTAAAAAACAAGATGATTTAAGTGACATATCATTGAATTGTGCTGTCAAGAAGGAAGGCTTTTGCTGCAACGAGATACATTTTTTTTGTTACAATGACGGCCTTAACTTCATCTCAGTGAATTTTAGCGATAAATAGTGTTGTTTAAAGTACCACCAATCGACTCCTTTAGAATTTCCCTTTACGTTTCGCAGGTATTTTCCGTTTAGATTGGAGTAGTGGCATCTCCTGTACCACCAAGCACCAGTGGCTGACACAGCACAGTTGCCAGTCGATCTGTCATTATCTCTGTCTTTTGTGCTAAACGCCATGTTATTATGATATGCTAACGAATCTCCTGCTGTCCCTGAATATGAACGCACTTCAAGTCGATACTTCACCTGCTCATCACCAATCTTGAACTTCCCATATTTGGCAAACACTCTTACTCCGTTCCAGTCCTCTAGCTCCACTCGTAGAGAGCTGGGTCTAGCGACCGTCAGCCTGTGGATCTTGTCGTTTCCTAACCAGAACTCAGCCGTCAGCAGACCAAAACCTGATTTGTAATCGTTCCATCCGCGATGGAAGTCCACCGAGCCATCTTGTCTTCTCTGAAACACGGTCCATCCTCCGCCGTCAGTACGCATGTCACAATATACATTGAAGGATCCTTTACCGTCTGGGTTCACAGAGTACACTCCACTCTGAGTATGGCCTGATTTTAACAAATAAGAGCAATCTGTAGGGAATAAACAACAGCAAGGGCTTTACTTTAGCAGCGATAAACAGTCTTGACCTATAACAGAATGAAAAACGTCTATCAAGTAAATTTCAAGTAGGACCATAGGATTCTCTCCCTCTATCTTGATAGTTAAGATCGAAATAATGTGGTTTAATAGATATTTTGAAGATCACATCAGCCCTTAAAATATAATCAATTAACCGTGTGATTAAGGGCTGAAAGGCTAGCCGCTGATTGAGGGGTACAAGCGTCGTCCCTTGAAAACCCCGGTACCTTAAACATGATAGCAGCAACTTAACATTAGCAGTTGCATATATCAGTTGAGGCGCTTATATAATCTCTATTTATAACTGCACGAGCTCTTAATGAATAAATGAGAGTCATAGTTTCTTCTTCAAACACTCCTGCGCTAGTTGCGGTACATATGTTTTCACCTACACCGTTTTTTTGTCTTTGTAATGTCTTTTCAAAATACAAGAGGGTGAGGACTAAATTAAGTGAGTACAAACGTCCCTCAGAACCTCGGTCACAGTCGCAGTTCAGTCTCTCTTAAGCTTATTTTAACACAATAGCATTGGCCGTTACACTTTTATAATTTACGCTCTTTAAGCTTTATCTATAACTGACCTCTTGGTGGATAAACTTGAATGTGAGTCAGAGTTTCCACATCAAACACCCCTGCGCTGGTTGCGGTACATATGTAATAGCCTGTATCGCTCTTTGTAATGTCTCTTATCACTAACGCACCATTAATCTGCTGGTTCCTTCCAACTGGCAGATGACCTCCTTGTTTCCTCCAGCTAATAACCGGTTGTGGGTCACCAGTTGCGCTACAATTAAGTGTCAAGGTGTCTCCAAGCCACGCAAAAATGCTCACAGGTGGCTTAACAGTAAATCGAGGATGTGAAACAATCACTATAAATGTTTTTCTTTCAAAACTTCCAAGCAGGTTTGTTGCTGAACAGAGATACAAGTCAGAATCTATTTTTTGAGCATTTAAAAGTTGAATGCTACTGTTGTTGTACTTCACCCTCTCATGGGGTAACTGACCCGATGCTTTTCTCCAGTTGACCACTGGTGCTGGGTAACCAGTCACGTGACATGGGGGAAGAGTGAAGTTGCTGCCTTCAATAGCGTAATGAGGCCCCGGGTGGAGAGAAACTCGAGGATGAACTGAAAAAATGCAAAGAAATTAACTGCTGTCAAATAGAACGTTTAAATGAAAATATGAACTTAAATAAGTAGTTGGGATTAGTGTGATGACGTTTGAACATATTTTCAAAAAACTAATTCTGTAGGTCGAATTTAGAAGTATAAGCAACGCCTACAAATTTTCTGAGTTTTTGGTAGCTCAGTGGTAGAGCATCTGCACTAGTAACACGGAGAGATGAAGGTCATAAGTTAGAACGTACTCTTGCTAAGATACTTCGAATTTCGTCTTTTCGAGTGGTCACTAATTTTTAAAGTCTTTGCATGCGATAATTGCTGCCGTTCTGTTTCCTTTGGCAAAGTGTTTGTTATTACTGTTTGCCCCATGATCTGAGGAAGTTTGGAGCCGAAACAAAAAAACAAACAGCAAAAGAAACAAAAAAAAGGAATTAATCTAGACTTAAGAGAAAGGTAGAAGCAAACTGTCAAGTCCAAGTGAATGACGTGATAAGTGTACTCGCCATCTTTTGGAGTGAAACTTTACCAAATGATATTTTATATAAACTCACCATTTACAACAAGCTGCACCAGTGTTTGCGCATGTCCTAAGATGTTTGTTGCTGAGCATTGATATTCACCCGAGTCATTTGCTTTTACATTCTTTAAAAGCAACCTGCCTTTTGAAACCGCTGACTTGCTTACTTCAGACAGGTTACCCCTTTTACTCCACACTACTGCAGGCTCAGGATTACCGCTAACTGAACACTGAAATGAAGCTGTTCCACTTTCGTTTACTGTCAAGTTTGTTGGGGAAACAGCAACAACTGGAGCAGAAATCGATTCACCAGGCTCTCCTTTCGTTCCCGGCATGCCAGCGGGCCCTGTGTCTCCTTTTTGCCCTTTGAGTCCAAGGTCACCTTTGGGTCCTGCAGGTCCCATGATTCCTTGCTTCCCGCGTTTTCCTGGTGATCCCATAATACCTTTATCTCCTTTGGTCCCTCGTGTTCCCTTCTTTCCTTTTCGTCCCCGATCTCCCTTCTCTCCTCTCGGCCCCGGTGGACCGGGGGGACCCGGAGGACCTGAAAGACATGTCATATGTTGATTTGCAAATTGCGGTTGCAGGCCTTGATACTGATTGTGTTTGCAAAATTTTTGGCATAATTAATTCGACATTACGAGCATAATTTTTATCTGTTGTCCTTAAAATAAAGCACTGCTAATATAATTTGTAATTTTGGCAAATTTTGCAGCACGAAATTGTCATTTATTCATCACGCAACAAACGTTTCAGTTTGGCCGACGATCAGTGTGTTACAGGCAAATTTTGACCGCTTTTGTCACATTCATGGGAACTGCATCCCACAGGATGTGACCCTGCATAACTAGCTAGGTTACCCAAGATGGCGTCCGCGCGCTGGATGTCAATTGTTTGAGTCTTTATAGTTGTCAGAGAGTTTTTGTTGTTTCAATGGTTTACCTTTACATTCATCTGGCGCTGCAAATACTTTTTATAATGACTTATCCTGCACTAGTTAAGTTTCTAGTTGTAATTAGGGTACGAATGTTTGCCATTTACTTGTTTGTTGCTAAGTCATTGAGGTTTATTAACAAGTGGAAGCAAAATTTCTGCATTTTTTGCTAAAACGAGCATGATTTACAAAAACTAGGCATAATTATTTTATAGCATCATCTAGTAGCAAATTATGCTACTTTTAGTTGCGAGAAAAATCATCAAAACCTAGTCTCGGTCTCCACTCTGATAAAAGTTTGTGAATTTCTTTAATAATGGTGGTTGTTGTTTTAGCTTTCCTGGTATTAGAGGGTCTCAATGGGGTGGTGGCTTTTACGGTTATCGGCTAAAATTTTGGCTCTTTTACGGCTATCGGTTAATTTTTTTCAGTTACGGTTAACGAAAAAGTTAAAAATTAACTTCTTTTGTTTCAAAAAGTTAAATATTAATTAACCTGTATTTTTTTGTATCTTTAAATCAAAATAAAGGTCTTCGGATCATCTCGGGATGAAATAAGCTATTCTTTTGAAAAATTTTAACATTTGATAGATCATACTTTTTATAAAGTATTGCACTTCTAATATTATTTTACACATAGAAATGTCAATAGTCAATTTAAAAATAATCTTTGTGAAAAAGCAAAAGCAGACACGCGAACGCCCAACTCAAGGCCGGGGCGCGACATTCATTATAACAGAAATGGCCGTTTTCACACTAGAGAAGGATTATTCGTGTGAGACGGGTTATCCGTTTGATGATTCGCGTCAGATAGGTGATACGTCTTAATTTGGAAATGGAATAGTTTTAATTTTGAACAAACAATCCGCCTGACTTTTGAAGACAGGGTTATCCGTTCCAGGTAGCCTGTGTACAGCCGCCCCCTCCCCTCAGAAAAAAAATCTGAGAAAGGGTGTCTGTGGGGAGGGCGCGACTGTACACAGGCTAGTCTCAGACGGATGATCCATTTCTAGATCTAGTGTGAAAACGGTCAATAACAAAATTCCCGTGTCCAGTGTTTTTAATGATAGCGAAGGACTGTACGGAACGACTGTCTTGCCGTTGCCTTGTCCGTAGGCCGCATTATTCCGCGCGGCTGATGCCTTTCGGGTCATGTGGTCCGAGCGAGTTCGCCACTGAAATGCCTTGACCGAGATTGCGTGGGAAGACGCCGAACAGGGACTAGGCATGGCGATGCCTGCCGTAGCGTCCGAGAAAAACAGGGAAATGTTGTTTATCGGCAACGTGATATACAAACAGTGACATCTCTGCGTGTTGTTTCACTAGTGTTTTGAGGGCTAGTGAAATGCCTGAAAATTGCAAATATTAATCCCCAGCAAGAAGCCACACTTTCGCTATGGAAAAAATTAGTTCCCCAAGAAAGCGCCGGAAATGGAGCCAACAATCTTGGACAAAACTGTTGAGAAAATTGCATATTTGGGGGCATTTTTTCTGAACTTCGTAACCGACCGATTCTTCCCTCCCCCCCCCCCTCCCCCTGGAAGCAATGTTGTTGGGTCTTCTAAAGAAAACCGGATCCCTAAGCATTTCTAGGAAGCAACTTTGAATTGGGGGAGGGGGTATTCTTTACGCAAAGCCGTTGATTTGGAAACAGTTTTGTTGCGTTAGGTAGTGTGCATTAATGAAAACATTTTCTCAAGTAGTTTTGTCCAGGATTGTATTTGACCGGAAAAGTCGATTTTGAGCATTTACCGCGGGCACATAAATCTGTTCTTCATATATTTCGTACACTTCACAGAGAAGTAGATAATTAATGGCAAATAAGTCACAACAGAGGAGTTGATGACAAGAAAATCAACTTGTCTGTCTTTCTTGATTCAAGTAGCCAATCGTGAACGTTTGTGAATTTCATTTTCCATGCAGGGTTTTTACGCGCGCTTTGAGTGCAGAGGAGCAGGCATACATTACGTTTTTGGCGGACGAGAAGGACGTCTCCGTCAAGGAGATTAGCCACAAAACGGGAATTTCACCGGCTATGATTCGACCAACAAATAACACATGAGAGTTTTGCTGAATTTTCAGAGCGCGTGACCCATACTTTGAACAATTTTCCCATCGCCGAAATAGATAAAACAATCAAAGTCAATGAACAAGCGCTTGCCATTAATAACAGCATCAAATGGAGACAGGATTAAATATTAACAAAACTTGTATTTTTACTCTCCCAATTTGAAAGCTTACCTTTTGACATTGTAGCGATGTCCAGTGCAAAAAAATCACACTATGAAATCTAGAAATGTCACGCGCGGTAACGTGACAAGATGTACTATCGTGTGACTGTAAGAGTGCATGTTTTGCCCTAGGGCTATTTATAGCTACATATGACTAGAAGAAATTATGAGATAAATTCATCATTTGTAAAGCAAGAGATAGTAAAATTGCCACAGTTGTCTTCTAATCTCTTTCTCTCCACAATATCTAAGATTCGGAACGATTAACAGGGCACTTTAAAAGTGCTACCAAGATTAGCAACGGTTAACAACGGTTAACAAGGACGTTTCATAAGAATTCAGAAGATCATTTACTTTTAAAAACGAAATGGTGTTAACCGTTTCAATGCTTTGTTAATCGTAATATTATTCTATCCATGGAATTATCATAAAAAACTTAACCGACTTGTCGCAAACGAGGTTTCTGTAACCCTCATAGTTTAGCCAATTTTAAGATCTGAGAAGCAGTTTCCACGTGGCGGGATACGTTTCCATATTGGCTTCACTATACGCCACTAAATAAACACTACGAACTTCTTTTCTTCCAAGAAAACCGTCATCCAAGTCTTGTTCCGACTGTTCTGAAAACTATAAATCACTTTCCAGACTTTCCAAGCCTGCCAGGTTTAAACAACACGAAAACATGTAACAATGAGCACGCGTTCTACGGATACTGCAAAATCTTACTGTTTTAAGAGGGTGCAGCAAAAACGTATATGAGGTGGTACTTTTCTATGAGAAGATGGTGTGCCGTGAAACTTTGTACTCAAAACAGCTTCTGTAAAGTGCTTTTTATTGGTAGGTTTTCGTTTTGTCCATTTTAATATTCTTGCTAAAAAACGCGAATCACCTTATATACAATCTTGGACAAAACTGTTGAGAAAATTGCATATTTGGGGCATTTTTTCTGAACTTCGTAACCGACCGATTCTTCCCTCCCCCCTCCCCTGGAAGCAATGTTGTTGGGTCTTCTAAAGAAAGCCGGATCCCTAAGCATTTCTAGGAAGCAACTTTGAATTGGGGGAGGGGGTATTCTTTACGCAAAGCCGTTGATTTGGAAACAGTTTTGTTGCGTTAGGTAGTGTGCATTAATGAAAACATTTTCTCAAGTAGTTTTGTCCAGGATTGTATTTGACCGGAAAAGTCGATTTTGAGCATTTACCGCGGGCACATAAATCTGTTCTTCATATATTTCGTACACTTCACAGAGAAGTAGATAATTAATGGCAAATAAGTCACAACAGAGGAGTTGATGACAAGAAAATCAACTTGTCTGTCTTTCTTGATTCAAGTAGCCAATCGTGAACGTTTGTGAATTTCATTTTCCATGCAGGGTTTTTACGCGCGCTTTGAGTGCAGAGGAGCAGGCATACATTACGTTTTTGGCGGACGAGAAGGACGTCTCCGTCAAGGAGATTAGCCACAAAACGGGAATTTCACCGGCTATGATTCGACCAACAAATAACACATGAGAGTTTTGCTGAATTTTCAGAGCGCGTGACCCATACTTTGAACAATTTTCCCATCGCCGAAATAGATAAAACAATCAAAGTCAATGAACAAGCGCTTGCCATTAATAACAGCATCAAATGGAGACAGGATTAAATATTAACAAAACTTGTATTTTTACTCTCCCAATTTGAAAGCTTACCTTTTGACATTGTAGCGATGTCCAGTGCAAAAAATCACACTATGAAATCTAGAAATGTCACGCGCGGTAACGTGACAAGATGTACTATCGTGTGACTGTAAGAGTGCATGTTTTGCCCTAGGGCTATTTATAGCTACATATGACTAGAAGAAATTATGAGATAAATTCATCATTTGTAAAGCAAGAGATAGTAAAATTGCCACAGTTGTCTTCTAATCTCTTTCTCTCCACAATATCTAAGATTCGGAACGATTAACAGGGCACTTTAAAAGTGCTACCAAGATTAGCAACGGTTAACAACGGTTAACAAGGACGTTTCATAAGAATTCAGAAGATCATTTACTTTTAAAAACGAAATGGTGTTAACCGTTTCAATGCTTTGTTAATCGTAATATTATTCTATCCATGGAATTATCATAAAAACTTAACCGACTTGTCGCAAACGAGGTTTTCTGTAACCCTCATAGTTTAGCCAATTTTAAGATCTGAGAAGCAGTTTCCACGTGGCGGGATACGTTTCCATATTGGCTTCACTATACGCCACTAAATAAACACTACGAACTTCTTTTCTTCCAAGAAAACCGTCATCCAAGTCTTGTTCCGACTGTTCTGAAAACTATAAATCACTTTCCAGACTTTCCAAGCCTGCCAGGTTTAAACAACACGAAAACATGTAACAATGAGCACGCGTTCTACGGATACTGCAAAATCTTACTGTTTTAAGAGGGTGCAGCAAAAAACGTATATGAGGTGGTACTTTTCTATGAGAAGATGGTGTGCCGTGAAACTTTGTACTCAAAACAGCTTCTGTAAAGTGCTTTTTATTGGTAGGTTTTCGTTTTGTCCATTTTAATATTCTTGCTAAAAACGCGAATCACCTTATATACAATCTTGGACAAAACTGTTGAGAAAATTGCATATTTGGGGGCATTTTTTCTGAACTTCGTAACCGACCGATTCTTCCCCCCCCCTCCCCTGGAAGCAATGTTGTTGGGTCTTCTAAAGAAAGCCGGATCCCTAAGCATTTCTAGGAAGCAACTTTGAATTGGGGAGGGGGGTATTCTTTACGCAAAGCCGTTGATTTGGAAACAGTTTTGTTGCGTTAGGTAGTGTGCATTAATGAAAACATTTTCTCAAGTAGTTTTGTCCAGGATTGTATTTGACCGGAAAAGTCGATTTTGAGCATTTACCGCGGGCACATAAATCTGTTCTTCATATATTTCGTACACTTCACAGAGAAGTAGATAATTAATGGCAAATAAGTCACAACAGAGGAGTTGATGACAAGAAAATCAACTTGTCTGTCTTTCTTGATTCAAGTAGCCAATCGTGAACGTTTGTGAATTTCATTTTCCATGCAGGGTTTTTACGCGCGCTTTGAGTGCAGAGGAGCAGGCATACATTACGTTTTTGGCGGACGAGAAGGACGTCTCCGTCAAGGAGATTAGCCACAAAACGGGAATTTCACCGGCTATGATTCGACCAACAAATAACACATGAGAGTTTTGCTGAATTTTCAGAGCGCGTGACCCATACTTTGAACAATTTTCCCATCGCCGAAATAGATAAAACAATCAAAGTCAATGAACAAGCGCTTGCCATTAATAACAGCATCAAATGGAGACAGGATTAAATATTAACAAAACTTGTATTTTTACTCTCCCAATTTGAAAGCTTACCTTTTGACATTGTAGCGATGTCCAGTGCAAAAAATCACACTATGAAATCTAGAAATGTCACGCGCGGTAACGTGACAAGATGTACTATCGTGTGACTGTAAGAGTGCATGTTTTGCCCTAGGGCTATTTATAGCTACATATGACTAGAAGAAATTATGAGATAAATTCATCATTTGTAAAGCAAGAGATAGTAAAATTGCCACAGTTGTCTTCTAATCTCTTTCTCTCCACAATATCTAAGATTCGGAACGATTAACAGGGCACTTTAAAAGTGCTACCAAGATTAGCAACGGTTAACAACGGTTAACAAGGACGTTTCATAAGAATTCAGAAGATCATTTACTTTTAAAAACGAAATGGTGTTAACCGTTTCAATGCTTTGTTAATCGTAATATTATTCTATCCATGGAATTATCATAAAAACTTAACCGACTTGTCGCAAACGAGGTTTCTGTAACCCTCATAGTTTAGCCAATTTTAAGATCTGAGAAGCAGTTTCCACGTGGCGGGATACGTTTCCATATTGGCTTCACTATACGCCACTAAATAAACACTACGAACTTCTTTTCTTCCAAGAAAACCGTCATCCAAGTCTTGTTCCGACTGTTCTGAAAACTATAAATCACTTTCCAGACTTTCCAAGCCTGCCAGGTTTAAACAACACGAAAACATGTAACAATGAGCACGCGTTCTACGGATACTGCAAAATCTTACTGTTTTAAGAGGGTGCAGCAAAAACGTATATGAGGTGGTACTTTTCTATGAGAAGATGGTGTGCCGTGAAACTTTGTACTCAAAACAGCTTCTGTAAAGTGCTTTTTATTGGTAGGTTTTCGTTTTGTCCATTTTAATATTCTTGCTAAAAACGCGAATCACCTTATATACAATCTTGGACAAAACTGTTGAGAAAATTGCATATTTGGGGGCATTTTTTCTGAACTTCGTAACCGACCGATTCTTCCCTCCCCTCCCCCCTGGAAGCAATGTTGTTGGGTCTTCTAAAGAAAGCCGGATCCCTAAGCATTTCTAGGAAGCAACTTTGAATTGGGGAGGGGGTATTCTTTACGCAAAGCCGTTGATTTGGAAACAGTTTTGTTGCGTTAGGTAGTGTGCATTAATGAAAACATTTTCTCAAGTAGTTTTGTCCAGGATTGTATTTGACCGGAAAAGTCGATTTTGAGCATTTACCGCGGGCACATAAATCTGTTCTTCATATATTTCGTACACTTCACAGAGAAGTAGATAATTAATGGCAAATAAGTCACAACAGAGGAGTTGATGACAAGAAAATCAACTTGTCTGTCTTTCTTGATTCAAGTAGCCAATCGTGAACGTTTGTGAATTTCATTTTCCATGCAGGGTTTTTACGCGCGCTTTGAGTGCAGAGGAGCAGGCATACATTACGTTTTTGGCGGACGAGAAGGACGTCTCCGTCAAGGAGATTAGCCACAAAACGGGAATTTCACCGGCTATGATTCGACCAACAAATAACACATGAGAGTTTTGCTGAATTTTCAGAGCGCGTGACCCATACTTTGAACAATTTTCCCATCGCCGAAATAGATAAAACAATCAAAGTCAATGAACAAGCGCTTGCCATTAATAACAGCATCAAATGGAGACAGGATTAAATATTAACAAAACTTGTATTTTTACTCTCCCAATTTGAAAGCTTACCTTTTGACATTGTAGCGATGTCCAGTGCAAAAAATCACACTATGAAATCTAGAAATGTCACGCGCGGTAACGTGACAAGATGTACTATCGTGTGACTGTAAGAGTGCATGTTTTGCCCTAGGGCTATTTATAGCTACATATGACTAGAAGAAATTATGAGATAAATTCATCATTTGTAAAGCAAGAGATAGTAAAAATTGCCACAGTTGTCTTCTAATCTCTTTCTCTCCACAATATCTAAGATTCGGAACGATTAACAGGGCACTTTAAAAGTGCTACCAAGATTAGCAACGGTTAACAACGGTTAACAAGGACGTTTCATAAGAATTCAGAAGATCATTTACTTTTAAAAACGAAATGGTGTTAACCGTTTCAATGCTTTGTTAATCGTAATATTATTCTATCCATGGAATTATCATAAAAACTTAACCGACTTGTCGCAAACGAGGTTTCTGTAACCCTCATAGTTTAGCCAATTTTAAGATCTGAGAAGCAGTTTCCACGTGGCGGGATACGTTTCCATATTGGCTTCACTATACGCCACTAAATAAACACTACGAACTTCTTTTCTTCCAAGAAAACCGTCATCCAAGTCTTGTTCCGACTGTTCTGAAAACTATAAATCACTTTCCAGACTTTCCAAGCCTGCCAGGTTTAAACAACACGAAAACATGTAACAATGAGCACGCGTTCTACGGATACTGCAAAATCTTACTGTTTTAAGAGGGTGCAGCAAAAAACGTATATGAGGTGGTACTTTTCTATGAGAAGATGGTGTGCCGTGAAACTTTGTACTCAAAACAGCTTCTGTAAAGTGCTTTTTATTGGTAGGTTTTCGTTTTGTCCATTTTAATATTCTTGCTAAAAACGCGAATCACCTTATATACAATCTTGGACAAAACTGTTGAGAAAATTGCATATTTGGGGGCATTTTTTCTGAACTTCGTAACCGACCGATTCTTCCCCCCCCCCTCCCCTGGAAGCAATGTTGTTGGGTCTTCTAAAGAAAGCCGGATCCCTAAGCATTTCTAGGAAGCAACTTTGAATTGGGGAGGGGTATTCTTTACGCAAAGCCGTTGATTTGGAAACAGTTTTGTTGCGTTAGGTAGTGTGCATTAATGAAAACATTTTCTCAAGTAGTTTTGTCCAGGATTGTATTTGACCGGAAAAGTCGATTTTGAGCATTTACCGCGGGCACATAAATCTGTTCTTCATATATTTCGTACACTTCACAGAGAAGTAGATAATTAATGGCAAATAAGTCACAACAGAGGAGTTGATGACAAGAAAATCAACTTGTCTGTCTTTCTTGATTCAAGTAGCCAATCGTGAACGTTTGTGAATTTCATTTTCCATGCAGGGTTTTTACGCGCTTTTGAGTGCAGAGGAGCAGGCATACATTACGTTTTTGGCGGACGAGAAGGACGTCTCCGTCAAGGAGATTAGCCACAAAACGGGAATTTCACCGGCTATGATTCGACCAACAAATAACACATGAGAGTTTTGCTGAATTTTCAGAGCGCGTGACCCATACTTTGAACAATTTTCCCATCGCCGAAATAGATAAAACAATCAAAGTCAATGAACAAGCGCTTGCCATTAATAACAGCATCAAATGGAGACAGGATTAAATATTAACAAAACTTGTATTTTTACTCTCCCAATTTGAAAGCTTACCTTTTGACATTGTAGCGATGTCCAGTGCAAAAAATCACACTATGAAATCTAGAAATGTCACGCGCGGTAACGTGACAAGATGTACTATCGTGTGACTGTAAGAGTGCATGTTTTGCCCTAGGGCTATTTATAGCTACATATGACTAGAAGAAATTATGAGATAAATTCATCATTTGTAAAGCAAGAGATAGTAAAAATTGCCACAGTTGTCTTCTAATCTCTTTCTCTCCACAATATCTAAGATTCGGAACGATTAACAGGGCACTTTAAAAGTGCTACCAAGATTAGCAACGGTTAACAACGGTTAACAAGGACGTTTCATAAGAATTCAGAAGATCATTTACTTTTAAAAACGAAATGGTGTTAACCGTTTCAATGCTTTGTTAATCGTAATATTATTCTATCCATGGAATTATCATAAAAAACTTAACCGACTTGTCGCAAACGAGGTTTCTGTAACCCTCATAGTTTAGCCAATTTTAAGATCTGAGAAGCAGTTTCCACGTGGCGGGATACGTTTCCATATTGGCTTCACTATACGCCACTAAATAAACACTACGAACTTCTTTTCTTCCAAGAAAACCGTCATCCAAGTCTTGTTCCGACTGTTCTGAAAACTATAAATCACTTTCCAGACTTTCCAAGCCTGCCAGGTTTAAACAACACGAAAACATGTAACAATGAGCACGCGTTCTACGGATACTGCAAAATCTTACTGTTTTAAGAGGGTGCAGCAAAAAACGTATATGAGGTGGTACTTTTCTATGAGAAGATGGTGTGCCGTGAAACTTTGTACTCAAAACAGCTTCTGTAAAGTGCTTTTTATTGGTAGGTTTTCGTTTTGTCCATTTTAATATTCTTGCTAAAAAACGCGAATCACCTTATATACAATCTTGGACAAAACTGTTGAGAAAATTGCATATTTGGGGGCATTTTTTCTGAACTTCGTAACCGACCGATTCTTCCCTCCCCCCCCCTCCCCCTGGAAGCAATGTTGTTGGGTCTTCTAAAGAAAGCCGGATCCCTAAGCATTTCTAGGAAGCAACTTTGAATTGGGGGAGGGGGTATTCTTTACGCAAAGCCGTTGATTTGGAAACAGTTTTGTTGCGTTAGGTAGTGTGCATTAATGAAAACATTTTCTCAAGTAGTTTTGTCCAGGATTGTATTTGACCGGAAAAGTCGATTTTGAGCATTTACCGCGGGCACATAAATCTGTTCTTCATATATTTCGTACACTTCACAGAGAAGTAGATAATTAATGGCAAATAAGTCACAACAGAGGAGTTGATGACAAGAAAATCAACTTGTCTGTCTTTCTTGATTCAAGTAGCCAATCGTGAACGTTTGTGAATTTCATTTTCCATGCAGGGTTTTTACGCGCGCTTTGAGTGCAGAGGAGCAGGCATACATTACGTTTTTGGCGGACGAGAAGGACGTCTCCGTCAAGGAGATTAGCCACAAAACGGGAATTTCACCGGCTATGATTCGACCAACAAATAACACATGAGAGTTTTGCTGAATTTTCAGAGCGCGTGACCCATACTTTGAACAATTTTCCCATCGCCGAAATAGATAAAACAATCAAAGTCAATGAACAAGCGCTTGCCATTAATAACAGCATCAAATGGAGACAGGATTAAATATTAACAAAACTTGTATTTTTACTCTCCCAATTTGAAAGCTTACCTTTTGACATTGTAGCGATGTCCAGTGCAAAAAATCACACTATGAAATCTAGAAATGTCACGCGCGGTAACGTGACAAGATGTACTATCGTGTGACTGTAAGAGTGCATGTTTTGCCCTAGGGCTATTTATAGCTACATATGACTAGAAGAAATTATGAGATAAATTCATCATTTGTAAAGCAAGAGATAGTAAAAATTGCCACAGTTGTCTTCTAATCTCTTTCTCTCCACAATATCTAAGATTCGGAACGATTAACAGGGCACTTTAAAAGTGCTACCAAGATTAGCAACGGTTAACAACGGTTAACAAGGACGTTTCATAAGAATTCAGAAGATCATTTACTTTTAAAAACGAAATGGTGTTAACCGTTTCAATGCTTTGTTAATCGTAATATTATTCTATCCATGGAATTATCATAAAAACTTAACCGACTTGTCGCAAACGAGGTTTCTGTAACCCTCATAGTTTAGCCAATTTTAAGATCTGAGAAGCAGTTTCCACGTGGCGGGATACGTTTCCATATTGGCTTCACTATACGCCACTAAATAAACACTACGAACTTCTTTTCTTCCAAGAAAACCGTCATCCAAGTCTTGTTCCGACTGTTCTGAAAACTATAAATCACTTTCCAGACTTTCCAAGCCTGCCAGGTTTAAACAACACGAAAACATGTAACAATGAGCACGCGTTCTACGGATACTGCAAAATCTTACTGTTTTAAGAGGGTGCAGCAAAAAACGTATATGAGGTGGTACTTTTCTATGAGAAGATGGTGTGCCGTGAAACTTTGTACTCAAAACAGCTTCTGTAAAGTGCTTTTTTATTGGTAGGTTTTCGTTTTGTCCATTTTAATATTCTTGCTAAAAACGCGAATCACCTTATATACAATCTTGGACAAAACTGTTGAGAAAATTGCATATTTGGGGGCATTTTTTTGAACTTCGTAACCGACCGATTCTTCCCTCCCCCCCCCCTGGAAGCAATGTTGTTGGGTCTTCTAAAGAAAGCCGGATCCCTAAGCATTTCTAGGAAGCAACTTTGAATTGGGGAGGGGGTATTCTTTACGCAAAGCCGTTGATTTGGAAACAGTTTTGTTGCGTTAGGTAGTGTGCATTAATGAAAACATTTTCTCAAGTAGTTTTGTCCAGGATTGTATTTGACCGGAAAAGTCGATTTTGAGCATTTACCGCGGGCACATAAATCTGTTCTTCATATATTTCGTACACTTCACAGAGAAGTAGATAATTAATGGCAAATAAGTCACAACAGAGGAGTTGATGACAAGAAAATCAACTTGTCTGTCTTTCTTGATTCAAGTAGCCAATCGTGAACGTTTGTGAATTTCATTTTCCATGCAGGGTTTTTACGCGCGCTTTGAGTGCAGAGGAGCAGGCATACATTACGTTTTTGGCGGACGAGAAGGACGTCTCCGTCAAGGAGATTAGCCACAAAACGGGAATTTCACCGGCTATGATTCGACCAACAAATAACACATGAGAGTTTTGCTGAATTTTCAGAGCGCGTGACCCATACTTTGAACAATTTTCCCATCGCCGAAATAGATAAAACAATCAAAGTCAATGAACAAGCGCTTGCCATTAATAACAGCATCAAATGGAGACAGGATTAAATATTAACAAAACTTGTATTTTTACTCTCCCAATTTGAAAGCTTACCTTTTGACATTGTAGCGATGTCCAGTGCAAAAAATCACACTATGAAATCTAGAAATGTCACGCGCGGTAACGTGACAAGATGTACTATCGTGTGACTGTAAGAGTGCATGTTTTGCCCTAGGGCTATTTATAGCTACATATGACTAGAAGAAATTATGAGATAAATTCATCATTTGTAAAGCAAGAGATAGTAAAAATTGCCACAGTTGTCTTCTAATCTCTTTCTCTCCACAATATCTAAGATTCGGAACGATTAACAGGGCACTTTAAAAGTGCTACCAAGATTAGCAACGGTTAACAACGGTTAACAAGGACGTTTCATAAGAATTCAGAAGATCATTTACTTTTAAAAACGAAATGGTGTTAACCGTTTCAATGCTTTGTTAATCGTAATATTATTCTATCCATGGAATTATCATAAAAACTTAACCGACTTGTCGCAAACGAGGTTTCTGTAACCCTCATAGTTTAGCCAATTTTAAGATCTGAGAAGCAGTTTCCACGTGGCGGGATACGTTTCCATATTGGCTTCACTATACGCCACTAAATAAACACTACGAACTTCTTTTCTTCCAAGAAAACCGTCATCCAAGTCTTGTTCCGACTGTTCTGAAAACTATAAATCACTTTCCAGACTTTCCAAGCCTGCCAGGTTTAAACAACACGAAAACATGTAACAATGAGCACGCGTTCTACGGATACTGCAAAATCTTACTGTTTTAAGAGGGTGCAGCAAAAAAACGTATATGAGGTGGTACTTTTCTATGAGAAGATGGTGTGCCGTGAAACTTTGTACTCAAAACAGCTTCTGTAAAGTGCTTTTTTGGTAGGTTTTCGTTTTGTCCATTTTAATATTCTTGCTAAAAACGCGAATCACCTTATATACAATCTTGGACAAAACTGTTGAGAAAATTGCATATTTGGGGCATTTTTTTCTGAACTTCGTAACCGACCGATTCTTCCCTCCCCCCCCCCTGGAAGCAATGTTGTTGGGTCTTCTAAAGAAAGCCGGATCCCTAAGCATTTCTAGGAAGCAACTTTGAATTGGGGGAGGGGGTATTCTTTACGCAAAGCCGTTGATTTGGAAACAGTTTTGTTGCGTTAGGTAGTGTGCATTAATGAAAACATTTTCTCAAGTAGTTTTGTCCAGGATTGTAGGTCTTGGTTAACACCTAAAAGGTGCTTCGCCTAACGTGCGTACGGAGGCACACTAGCCGGAAAATAAAAAAACGCAACCATAAGTGAGTTAAGTACCTTCCTTAAAAAGTAGCAAATCTAGGGAACACCTTCTTTTACGGTTAACTCTTTTTTACGCTATTTACGGCTAACGGTTAAATTTTTTTAATTTTTACGGCTATCGATTAAATTTTTGGCCGTTTTACGCCTATCGGTTAACCCCATTGAGACCCTCGGTATTATTATACCTGAATTCGCTTGTCTTCTGGCTCGATGATGTTCATCGGTGTAAAATTCTGCTGAAAATTAAAAAAAAATGCATTCAATTGTTCGCTCAGTCTCAAGCTGAAATAATGAGGAAACAAGTGAAGCAAAAATTATATTTTAAGACCATGGTGTGTGTTACCAGTTTTTGTTTAAGCATGGTATAAGTCACGTACGGCCTGTTGCCAAAAGGGAAACGAATTCACCGTCTGAGCGTCACATTTCACGTGTAGTTTCACGTGATTTTTGATGACCTTTGTTGTAAACAAACCCGCAAAGTTTGGACATCTGTTCTCACTCACTTACTGTACATGTACGAACTAGGAGTCGCTACTTCAAGTTAGCGTTAACTTATGCAGGGGGGTAGCCAGGATTTTTCAAAGGGGGGTTCACAGCAGGAACACCCTCCGGGGATCGCCGACTATATATGGTTTATACCGCTGCTCTCCCTCGTGTATCAGCGGTCTCAGTCGTGTTATCGCGGCATGAAGGCCCATATTAACAAAAGACAAGAGCCGTTGACGAAAATACTTTACAAAAAAACAAATTTTAAAAAAGTGGGCTTTTCAACAATGGCTTTTGTTTGCTCGAAAGAAGGCCTACCAAGTGGGGTCACGGGCACCCCAGGACCCCCGCCCCCTAGCTACGCCCCTGTTATATATTTTCCTTCCCTTTCGCTGTTTGAAAATCGAATAGTTTAAGGTTCAAAATGTCAAAGCGGAAGATCTGGAGTGACTTTAACCGCCTCGAGTATGGTAAAACAGAAAAAATATTCGCCGGTACATGGAGTTTCAACAAGCGCGTAGAAATCTCTTCAGTTGAAAGAATGGTTTTGCAAGGTGGATCTAAACTTGAAGAAAATGAACATAATGATGCAGACACATTTATAATTCATTAAACGGCAGTTTGCTTACATTTTCGTCTCGACCGCCTTTTATACGCTTAAATATAAGTACGCTTATGCTTATCTTTGCTGAAGTATAGTACACTGCCTCCTTTTTTGTCTCTACACGATTAAATACAAATCCAGTGTATGTTCACAAAAGCCTACACTTTTTTGCTAAAGACATCTTGATTCAACCTCAGTAAGTAAATGCTATGAATATAACCGTCCTCAAAAGTGTCGAGTCCCTGTTTGCCGTAATATACAAATTGAAAAGGAAAATGTCAAGCAACAAAGAGCCAAACGGTCTTTGTAGCGAAAATGGATTGGAAATTAATAGCGTGTGATCGCGTGTGATTATGAATTTTGAAATGTGAATTATGTATGTATCATGAAATTTGAAATCATCATTTCCAATGTTAAAACCATTTCAGCTGCTGAGACGGGAATTTCCGCCACTGCAAGCACTCCTCGTTCCTGCCGTAACTTCTGCCATGTTCTTCGCCTTAAAATCGCTGTTATTCTTCTGCTCAGACATTTTTGAACCTTAAACTTTTCGAGTCTCAAACAGTGAAAGGGAAATAACATTTATAAACTAACGCAAACTTGAAATAGCGAGTGTAGTTCGTACAAAAATTAGTACCGTATGTGGCAGAGAACGAATGTCCGAAATTTAACAAAGGTCATCAAAAGTCACGTGAAACTACACGTGAAATCTGACGCTCAGAAGGTGAATTAACCTCAGTGTAACCTCTAGTTTATCTGCCAACAGGAAACACAGGACACCCACGAAAGCTAACTATCAAAGCCCCGAGCAGTCATCCCTTCTTTTTTCTCTACGCTCATGTCCCGCGACTCGTCTGAGTGAAAACCTGTAGTCCCTCGCTTAAAAATGTATTTCTAAGACGCTTGAAACGCAGTCAACACACAAACAGAAGAAAACGAACGTTCATGCACATTTCGCTCATTAATTAAAAGCAATCAATCGCAAGCAAATTGTGATCAAAATACAGGGTATACGTATGCACAATTAATCATTGTAAAATCCTGTAGAATGTTCTTTTCAGGATGGTAAGAAGCATTTCAGTATTTATTAAATTTTAAGCTGTGTATAAATGCTGCGTAAGACAAGAAAGATACAATGTACATACCACGCGCATCCTTGATGATCTTGACGATGTTTGAATCGCCGGATGGTGGTTTTGTCTCCGGGTTGTTTTCAAGCACGTTTAATCTTTTCTTCTGATTGTTCAACTCTAATTCAACTCTTAGAAACCCAATGCAATACAGAAGAATACCTAACGCAGAGATGGTGGTAGCAAAAGAAGGGAAGTGTTGGTTTTGACTCGTCATTTTCATGCAAGTTTCTTTGAGTCTTGTTCATCTGAAGACTTGGTACGTGAGCTAGTTACTTGATACTGTTATTTCCTCGTCACAGATCAAATTGGTTTCGGCTTTTGTCTGTCAGTTGTAAGTTAAGCTTTGCTTCGGGTTTGTTTTCTAATGGAATGGGGTCTTACACAGGATCAACTATTATAAGCCCTGCAAAGAGTTTTCAGGATATTAGGATTATTGACCTCACACAATTCTGACATGATTCCCTCAAAGCTGGCACTCAAAGTGGACGACTCCTTGAACGGACTCAATGAGGTGCCACGAGCAAAACCGACATTTTTGAAAAAAGAAGGAGAGTGACGGAAAAACCCTCAAAGTTGTTTATTTGTTTGTTTTGGAGGGGGAGGGGCGGGCGGGGAAGGGAAGGAGGGAGGTGCCAGTACTGTACCTAACATTAAGATTTAACAAAGCCTAAGAGCGAAGCTTCCGTTTGTGTACTGTAAAAAATAAAATGTTCACCACATAAACTTTTAAGCCATTGTGAAGAAGTTCTCTAACATACACTTAACTTTTGGAGTGAAGGGTTAGGTGATATCAGGAAACAAAATGTTCAGACGAAAAAAAAAAAGCTACATTCTTTGAAAAAAAAAAACATTCTAAGGAAACACTATAGACTGACTTGATCTTGTCATAAAGCCTAAAGGCACTCAGCTGTGCGTTTTTAAAACTGAAGTTACTTCAGGCACCCGACAGAAATAAAATAACATTTATTTATTTTTTTTCTTTATTGGAGTGACGTCATCAAATTGCAAAGTCAAAATAGCGAGGTTTTACAAATTCTTATTTACACTAGGTTGAAGAGAAATAAAAACTAAATCTTTGTACAAGTTTCCAGTCCCGTAGCATGTTTCATTTCAAAAATACAACAATTTGAACTCCCAAGTTTTCACAGTGCGTGACCCTATGGGAACGCTGTCTCGAGCTCGTTGAAAAAAAGTCTCCCCTCTTGATTTTCAGCAGTTTAACCATTTCAAGTCTTAAAAGATGTGCTTATGCGCACGTATGCTAGCTCTCGCGTGAAAAGAAAGAGCCATAGAAAAAGTGAAGTCCAGATGTTTTTGATGATTTCCGGCGGCCATATTGGTGGACCAAAACTGTCCACCAATATGGCATATCCATACAAAGCTCTACAAAGGTGCGTGAAACGTTTCGGCAAATAACTCAGAAACTGTGGGCCACAAAGACCTGAGACTTGGGCAAATTGTTTATATATTAGTCTTTTATAACATTTCATTTCTTGGCTTCCTCCCCTGGACGGTTTCCAATTAAGTTTACTGTGCCGTGTTTATTGCGTGACAGTGAAAACGAAGAACTAACTAATTAACTTTTTTATATTGTAACGTTTTTTAACGAAAAAATTACAAACTTCAAGTTTGGTCAAAGTAGAATATTTTAGTGATACTGAGAAAACAATATTCAAATTGCTAAAACAGTAAAATATTGATTGCTTTTCTGAGATGTTTCATCTGAGAACGTCTGGTACTGTACGATTGTACTGTAGATTTAACCAAACCTAAAAGTAAAAAACACCATTACATTATCAGCACTGAAGCACGCCAGAACCACGTATACCAACTCCACCGTATAGCCAGTACCTTACGCATGCGCATAACCATATCACCCCGGCAGTGGCAGCAACATACAGCAGTTTCGCCCTTATGGGGGCTCATCAGCATGGCATAGACGCCGGGTCAATGAACGGGCGAACCCGTGTACCGTGTATCAAGAACCCTTTACCGTAGAGGCGAGTGCAAAAGTAACTCCTTTGAGCGCCAGCTCTACCGCACACATGTGTATACTGTTATTTAACAATAAACCTTCCTCTTTTAAGAGGGTCTGAATGGGGTTTATTGTTAAGTGGTATTTGCCAATAATTTGTAATCTTCGGTAGCCTTCGGAAATCTTCTGAAATAATCCTGAAGTGTCGTAAAATGGCCGAAAACACCTTGATATACTAAACAAAATACCATAAAATTCCGAAAATAAGCCCCTCCATGTATAAGCCCCTCCAAATATATGCCCCCTAAACCGGTGACGCAAAAAGACCCCTGTAAATCGCCGCTCCAAATATAAGCCCCCTGGGGGCTTGTACTTAGAAAATTGCCCTCAAATACAAAGTAAAGCAAAGCCAAAACGATAAATTTACTTCCAACTATAAGGCTAGCCCAATCGATTTTGAAACGCAAATTTCCCTCCTTAGATAAGCCCCTCCGAATATAAACCCCTCCAAAAGGGCCTTTGAAAAAATATAAGCCCCGGGGCTTATTTTCGGAATTTTACGGTATTACTGGCCTTTTTGGAGCTCTTTTTTGTTTCTTTCAGTGTTCAAATACCTAAAAAAATTTAACTGTTTCATTTTACAAAGCCAAAAATGAAGTGTCTAGTGTAAGTTATTGAGTTAGCCCCATTCAGTACTCTTTTAAGCCATTGCAAAGAAGTTCACAAATCTATACTTACGGGTTGGGTGAAAGAAATGTTGAGACGGAAAAGCCTAGTACATTTGAAAAAACTAAAAACATTAGAAAACAAATTCGATCACAGTATCCCCTAAAACTCCTTTTGAGAGAACATTGTAGACTGACTTGATCTTGTCATAGTCCCTAAAGCACTCAACTGTACATTTTTAAAACTGAAGTTGCCTCGTCAGTCATCCGACAGGAATAAAATAAGATTTCCTCATTTCTCCATTAAACAAAAATATATAAGAACCTGCAGCCAAGCAAGATCAATCAAGTTCTTATATGCGCGTTAGGAAGTATTCACCACGGAGTTTGGTTTTGAGATTGGAAATTTAGACTTCATTTAAAATTGAAAGATTACAATGCATAGGTACATTCTGTAATTTGTTTCAATACACTTGTGAATAGGTATTACATGTTTAAGGACCAAACCCAAGTTTATTAATTTCTACTAGAAGTACGTGTATCGCAGAACCTCGCGAGGCTCTGGGGGAGGAGGGGGAGGAGGGCCATAAAATGTCAAGGGTGGAAGGGGGAGAGACTTGGAGTAAATTGTGTAGCCTGGGTGGGCGAGTTTCAACACTGGTTCTAAGATTGGAAGGTGAGATGTAGTTAATCACCTTTTGGTTGGAGTAAATTTCAACCCAGTCCTCTTTTGTTAAAAAGGAGTTTCTGGGATTTAAATGGGGTTGGTGTTGTTAAGGAACGGTACCCAATGTTTAAGAGGCTCCGTGTTCACCCCATTTGACCCTCCTACATTGTGTAATTATAGTAAAAGAAAATGGGTGTGATAGTGGATAACTGCAGCGAATATGTAGCCAACACATGCTATCTTTAATGTGTAACAAGAATTACTTGTAAAGTGTGTCATTAGTCGTGAGTGGATGAAATGGTAGGAGATAATGCTGCCGTGAAAATAACAAGTAAATGCTGCTAATTGGAGAAAAAATACTTATTTTTAAGTGAATTACAACAAGAGAGTGTTTGCACTTGTTGTAGTATATAATCACACTCGACAACTAAGGTGTAAACATATACAGGTACACTAAAACAGAAATTACATGTAGCAATGTGATATTTTTCCTATTTGACCCCTTTTTTTTCCTTTTTTCCCCACTGGGAAACCTGGTCCCAGGCTATGTCAGTAAGGATGCAGTTGAGGAGAACTATGAAAGTGATCATGACTTATGATTACTGATTATGCGGTATCCTCATTAATACTGAATAATCACTGTAAAAATACCAAATCATTTATCAAAGTGTTTATAGTTATTTGTGTACATGCATGAGAACTCATGCAAGAGCGAATTTGTATGAAATGTCCACATACAAGTAATGTTGAAGGTGATCAGTATTTCAGTTCTCAACACGCATGAGCTTGTTGAGACATGGTTGCCAGAGGCATAGTTTTATAAATTCCCAGACTGACAGTCACACTTTCCCTGACGAAGTGAATTGACAATTTGTCCAGATATTAATGATTCCAAATTCCAGTCAAAACCTCGTGTACTGGACACAGATGAGGTAAAACAAAAGACTTTTTTGTTTTCTGTTCAGGGAAAATCTGCTTGGTATGTTTTCACGGTTTTTAGTTCTTTTGTTTTATGTGTCATCTCTGTCTGGTACACAAAATAAAGGCCCAAATTCCCATCACTGCCATCCTGTCCACCTATTTAATACATGAATATTTATCATGAATGTAAAGTGCAGAATGGATGGATCTCATAGAAAACCCTATATCTGCTTCTCGTTTGATTTCTTGATACAATATTCTGCCAATGGAACAGTTTAACTTCGGTGAATATGCACAAATATGTCACCTCCCTCTGCCGTCTTTGAAAGAGTTGCATTTTCCCTGACTTATGCTGACATTCCCTGACTTTACTTACGCGAAATGATTAATTTTCCTGGCGTGATAACACATGTCACACAGTTCACACACTAATATTGTGAGGTAAATAGGATCGAAAATAGGGGGCCAGCAATATTAAATTTTTGTTATGCTTGACTTAAAAGACACAGCTGTGTTTATGTATAAAGGCTGCTATACAATGATAATATATTTTACTTGGGATGGTTGTAATGAAAATTGTAAACGAGAATGTTGTTCAGCAAGGATTCTGTTTACAAATGTAACGCTTCCCTAAACGCGTCACACATTATCGGTGTTCCAATCTGTTCATTGTTCATTGTTGAATAAAGCTTACTGTAAAACCGATTGTTGCTCATGGTGTAAAGGCTGATCGGCTGTCCCGAGTCCGTTGGAAAAATATGATTGAGGTGCACAACTCTTGCTGCCTATCGCTGCATCGAAGAAGGTAATTTTGACTGTAAACTTAATAAGCGTTGCCTGATCCATTCTCGACGCTTTTGGAAGCGTCGGCAGCCGGTGTTCCCTCTCTTCATCGGTTTCGTTTACAGTGTAATTGTAGTATTTTGTCGCTGCCTCTGTACGCGTTTGTGGTCGCTGTGTTGACGACGTTGCCTTCGCTGTGCTACTAAGCGATGTTCTCTCTGCTTCGCAGTTGTCTTTTTCGATCCGCGCGCCGATGAATTTTCATCGGCGTAATCTCCAGAGGAGTTTCAGTGGAAAATCTTGCTCGGCAAGTATTTGCAGCTACTTGCTGTGCTTGCAGTTCTGTGTCATTTGGATGGGAAAGTGTTCGTGATTCATGGTAAACATTGCTTCACAGACGATGAATCAGCACAACATCCTTTCATGAATAATACATAAAAATACGCCTTGGTCATCAGCGGCAAAGTCTATGTTGCCTGGAAACGCAAAATGCGCCATGACGTTGGCGGACACCAAGCATATATATTCAGAGAAATAAAGATTTATTTATTTATGGGGCCTCGAATTTTGCAGCTGGCTAAGACCACGCGTGGTTAGCAGACTGCGCGCGCGTTTCGCGGGCGACAAGATTATAAAGTCGCTACGCTCTTGGCGCTTCGCGCCGAGCTTCGCTCGGAATTACTATCCTGTTCATAGAAAACTTGACCTTATCAAGAACCTACAGCAGTATTTAGCCCCCACTACCAATGACTCATGATCCCAAAATACAAGAACATATTTTGCCAGGCTCGAAAAATGTGAGGCGGCTCGTCTCTTGTAACAAGTCCTAGTAATGGCTGAGAAAACAATGAAACAAACAAGAAGCGCTTAACCCCGAAACAACAACAGTGCAAGTTATGGGGCCAGTAAAATAAGAGGTTGCTGAGAGGTG